TAACGAATAACAAAGGTGGAGTTTTTTCTCCAGCATTTGAAAATATCTTCTTTATGTCATATATTCTACAACATTAGTGTCTGGATATTTCTAAAGAGATGCAGGCAGCTTTTGTAGACGTTTCCTTTTTGATATCAGCCTACATTTTTGGGGCAGCAGATTGAATTTGTCACAAGCTCAGCAATCCCCCTCTCCGGGAGGATTTCGGGGATTTTCTGTTGCTTCCAGCTACATGAAAGGTTGAAGTAGGCTGACATTCAAAGTCTGATACACCAACAGGGGAAACACGAGAGCGGGAGTGAAGGTTATTAAGAGGAATTCCTCTGTTATGGTTACGGTGGAGAATGCGCACTAATCAAGACAGAGGTGGCATTGCATGGAGAGTGCAGATGAAAATGGTAATTCATGTCCATTTCGACTTCTTACATAACATACAGCAGTGAAAGTTCAGATTTGTGGTACGAAGGAACAAAAAAGCGGAAATGAATAAATGACTGACATTTAAAGTGAAAGTAATTATTGGAAACACTCATCCTCCTGTTTGCTTTTCACCCCAAGTGCATGAAAGGAAACACAACACTCTGCAGAGAGTCACTAAAGAGAAACTAAAGAATAGTCACAAGGAAGGAAAAGAAAGTGCTGTAAGAAAAAGACCAGATGACGAGTTTGGCATTTAAAAAAAAAAACACACCCTTTTTGCATTACATGGATGAACATGCAAATAAGACAAAACTAGAAACTGTTAATGTTAAACCTAAGCAGCACATCTTTCCTTTATTCTTCATCCTGCTGATCCTAAAATGGAATACCAGTTTAAACTGGAAACTGGAAAAAATAGCAACATACCGTACTTACCTGTTTTATTAACAACAGGGACTGGTTATGTCATCAGCTACGAAGCTTCGAAGAGTGGTCACTTCTGTATAGTCTGAAATATTGTGTCTAAATATTCCCTTTAATTAAATTCATTATATTTACATGCAAACTGGAAAAGCAGCACTGGTTGTAAGTATGGAGGACCAATCCTACCATAATTAGAAATAAATACAGAAATAAAAAAATAAATAAGCATACAAAATACAATAAACTAATAAATGTAGGTACAAATTAAATTATACAGTGAGACATAAATATATATATCTCCTTTAATTAGCTTCTTTGTTTATTTGCCTTTGTAACAATTACCTTATTTATTTATTGTCCTTTATATTCTTCAACTTTATTTATGTATTACTCATTTCTTTAAGTATTTATTTATGTGCCTGTTATAATATTTTTGTCTGGTTTATTCTTAATTTTTACTTTTTTACCCTATTTATTTCTGCCTGTTGAATTTGCATTTCTGTATGCATTTCTGCTTCATTATGCAAATGAGGAAGGGTGTGTCTTTAAGGGTAAGCTTATCCCCATTGGTTGGTTAGCAGCCAGCGGCCAGTCACAATAAAGATGGCTACCTACGATGAAGTTGTCAGTGAGCTGAGACATTTAGCAACTGTTTTTGAAATAATGCTAATACTTGGGTTTCTGACCCTTTAATTTGGCTGCTCGGCCACTGACTGGACCGGACCGGGCATTTGAACCGAGCCATCAGCTCCAGGGCTGGTCTGGGTCCGGAGCCAGCCGGGGATGGAGCAACCGAACCCGACCCAGTGACGGTATGCTTCCAACCACCTGCCCGGTAAGGCAGGCGGCCCCTTGCTACCCCTCGCCTGCCTTACTGGGTCAGGTTTGGTCGTTCTGTTCCCCAATCCGCCGGAGTTCCATAGGTATGAAAAGTAGGACATGTCCGAGAAAAAGAGGACGTCTGGCAATTCTATTCCTAACTGTACCCTCAGTTCAGTCCCAGTCAACCACAACTCCCTCCATCGGATCAACCTTGAATATCCAATACCCAACTTCAAACCAACTTCACCGCGGACGTTAGCGACTGAGTTAAAAGATGGGCCTCTTCCTCCAGATTCTGAAAAACTAGATTGTCGAAGTCTGTGTCCATGTGTGTCGCTAACTGAATCACACGGTCTGTCAGAGGGTCGATACTAGGGTAACCAGACGTCCTCTTTTTCCCGGCCATGTCCTACTTTTCATACCTAAAAAAAATGTCCGGGGGGAATTTTGTCAAGTGCAGCAGAACCGAGCCGTGAGCTCCGCGGCTGGTCGGAGAACTCAAGCGGACGGGGGAAGGTACCATTGGGGGGCGGACGGGACAGTGCGGTACGGTCCAGTCAGTGGCAATTAATTGCATGTTTATTTATTTTTGGAGCATTTATTTATTTCCGCATTTTATTTTAATTATGGCAGGATTGGTCCTCCATATTATATGAGAGATTGAGATAAGAAAGCATAAGAACGGTCCATACATACTTTTCATAAAGTATTGGTCCATTTCTACTGTTCATAATGTATTGGTTCTAAGAGGTAATGCATGAAACACTGACTGGAGTTTTAGTTTGGTGTGTTTAAAGGCTGCAATGGTTATACAACAGTTAAATTCATCACCAGAGTCCACGGATATTTGGTTAAATAGTCCTTAGAAAATTATGGCTTAATCACTCGATTTCTATAACCATCAAAAGGCTTGAGGCATAATTCAACTATATTTTTCTATTTGATTTTGGACAAAGCTGGTAGTTTTTTTTATTTTATTTTTTTTATTGGTAGATTCCTTTGTGGTGAGAAATTGAAAGCTGAAAAGCCTTTATTAAAATGTTTTTGGCTCTTTAGAAAACCTGATAATAAGCAACCCTGAAAAGAAGAAACTATCAAACTCATAGAATTATGTTATTTTACAGGTTCATATATAAATATGTGCAGAGAATCTTGCATAACTGTAACCAATCATTTAAAATAGATTTTTTTTTAAATATACATACAGTTTCATCATGGGTTACACCACCTCAGTCAGTCCTTAAAGTCTTAGGGAAGATGAGGGAATGACCGTTGATATATGATTGGCTGAATTTAGGCGTACAAGCTGACATATAACTAACTGGCCTGCATAAGATAGTGGAAAAATAACACAGATTTTAAGACAGGATTTTTTTTTTAAATAGAAATCTTCCAACTTTTGGGACAATATCGTCTGATAAAGAGTACATTTATATACATGTTTAAGCCAGAATGATTTGAAATCTAAATATGACTTCCCTACAACTTTAAATGTACTGGATTTTGCTTTTCCAACAGTTCTAACAGACCTTACTGCAAACAAGGATAAGGAAAATAAAAGCCCCATGAATACAGGAGCCTCCGTTAAAGGCCAGAAACAGTTAAGATGTTCTTTTATTCTGAAGACTTTAGTGAAGGTGATAAAAAGGTTGATGCGATAGGAATGTATTTTATGTGTTATTTCTGACTCGCAGTGTCTAAAACATGGTGACCTGGTCAGTGTTAAGATTTTTAACCTTTTTGTTCTTGCTTCAGCTACATGCACAGACATAAATAAAGTAATTTCCTCTCAGAGCAACATAAAGGATTCTTTAAAAGCTTGTCAGTCTAAAGAACATTTAAAAGGCCTTGAGAGTTGGAAAAGACTGCTTCTTTTAAGTCTGTCAGTGCGCAGCGTTTAGAGTTTAATCAGATGTAACTCGACCTTTATTTGACTGATCTCCATTGGTTGCAACTCTAAATAACGCTTTACATCTCATCCAAAAAGCGCTGGACGATAGTTTAGCAAAATGTGAGAAGAGTAAGAGAAACAGTGATCGAGGGAAGAAGATCAAGGAAGGAGGTAGCAGGAGAGACTGTTGCAGTTATTGATGATTTATGCCCTGGAGAGCCGAAAGTGATCGATGGAGTGAAGATAGAGAAGCAAAAGGAGATTCAGAAACTTCCTTCAGACTGTGTCCCATTGTGGATGCATTAGGCTATTGTGAGTAATGTGCTGCTTGATTTACATGAGACCCCGTCCAATTTCAGCTGGTAGAAGCAAAGCTGCTCCTATTTTTACTGTCGTGTGGAGAGGAGTTCTCATCTGTCAGTCGAGATGGAGGGAAGATTAATAGCAGCTGTGTCCATGAATGAAAAACTTAGGAGTGTGCGGCGTGCACGACAGAAACAAGAAACCTTTTTTTATGCAGATAGGTAAAGTTACAACAAACTTTAATGTTAAAAAGAGGACAATCCTCTGAAAATAGACAGAAACAGAGGCTCGTTTTACAGCAGGAAAAAAATACTATAAATATGCTCTATTTCAATCTTTGGCAAGACTTAAAGTCTCCTTCCAGTTGTAATTATTTTGAGCTACTTTATATAGGAAAACAATTATTTAAGTCGGTAGATGTGAAAAGGTGGCAGCGTCACACCCCAAAGACTGGTAGTAGTAAAATCACATTCTGAAAGAAAACGCACACCGCACCTTTCAGATCTGGGTTAATGAAAATCAAAATAATTAAACTCTGTGGTTCAGGAGGATTCAGGTGGACACAGAACGTACTGATATAACTTCCTCCTGATTAATAAATACAGACCATTTGTGTTTCTATTGAAATATGTATCTTGGTTCCTGTTATGTTCTATTTATTTGGAAACTAAAGAAGCAAAAAAAAAAACACACACATTTGTAAATGTTAATAATGAAATAGAGCATTTATCTGCTGGTTTGTCATTTGCAGCCAAAAAAAGAACATTGTCCCTTTAAAAAGGCACAATTGTCCAATATCTTAATGTAATCTGAAAGAATATTCATAAATGTTTCTGCATTTCTCTTTGGGTCTAACCGAATGTTGTGACCTTCTGGTGTGACTTTGTGTGCATCTATAAAAGGGAGAACAAACAAGCAATTCTGTGCCACTTTTTTTTTCTCCAGCCCCCCTGCCATCAGTGACTGTACACCCATTCACTGATGGACAAACACATGAGGTAACTGCTGCTGTAAGTCAAGAGGCATAGAGCTGGAGCTCCCTCTATGGGTGGCAGGTGGTGCGTGCGCAGAGCTGGATTATATCCGGTGACTTCGCAGCTTGTCAGCTCTTTTGATAATTAAATCCTTAACTTGGTTGCTATCCTTTTTCCTTTTTTTTTCTTTTTTTCTTACAACCGCATAAGTGTGAATGTTAAACTGATGTCTCTAATTAACGATGGAGTAATACTCAGTCCCCGGATGGCTGCAAATCAGCGAGCTGCAGGGCAAATTAAAAGCTGAATCGTCTCAATACACAAAACCTCAATTAGGACTCATTGTCAGACCTACAGAGAGAGTGAAATTCTTTGGCTTTCATTTGCATTTAAATCAGTAACAGTCCAGTCAATACCAAAACCATGCTGTCAGAGATGAAGTGCAGCTTTTAGGAACATACTGTGGCGGATTCTCTGCTGCACACCGATACGGATGAGGTAGGTGGAGGGAAAACACAGTCCCAGCCTTTCTGAGAGCTCAGAAGGGAGGCTTATAGGCAATTTTGAGTGGGCAGGAAGAAGCTTTACAGGTGGGCGAGAAACTAACTAGGTTCCATTTCACAGAAGTTGCAAAAACAGACAAAGGAGAGTCTTGCATGGGGTTGAGTAGGATGGCTGCTGAATAATGTGCCTCCGGAGGAAAGCAGTAGTGTTTATTCCTGAAGAGGATGTGTGTGTGTGCGCAGTGGTATTGCCTATTCACGTTCCTCTCCTTCAAGCTTCTTCAGTCTGGCCATCTGTCATGTTTGCGTCTGGTTGATCTCAGACCTTGGGGTCACATCCAGGCTGTAATGAAGCAGCTTAATGTCAGTATGAAGAAAACTGAACCAAAACAAGCATTTTGTTGTTTTATTTTATTGTTTTTCTGTAAATTTGCCTTTATTTTCAGCTGCAATTTCCAGTTGAGCTCATTTAGCTCTGTAGCATTACATGCTTTCAGACTTTAATTAAACGTAATTCCTTATTATTCCTATGTTGTATCACAAACTCTATCATCACTCAGTCTTTTTTATCGATAGAGATGAAAATAAGGTTTTGTTTGATGATAAATTAGATTGAAACTGACATTTTAATTGCAGACGTGCAAACTTAGTTTAATCATTAGCAGAATGTCAGAGGAAGAAAGAGGCTGAGCCGATTCTCTGCAGGATGAAACGCAAAGAAAAGGTCTGTTTCAGTGTTTAGACAGCAGCTTAATATCTCTGCATATTATCCAGTGGGATGCGGCTGCCAGGAAGCTTTTGTTAAAGGAACTCCAGCTACATGATGTCCTCATTCATTAACTTTATGCTTTGTTTATCCAGAATACTTCCCCTCCTAAAACTAAACATGCTTTTTTTTTGCCTTATTTCTGCTAAATGTGGGGCCAATCATTCTATTTTTTTATTTTTTTTTCTTGGCTTGAAAAGTGTCTCCTTGTAAATGTGAGTTCTCCGATCCCGCCAGGCTGGATGTTTGTCTTATTTCTAACTGACCTGGCCTTTTTGGTGCGGGGAGGTTGCTATTGGAGACAGGAGCTTTCCTCACGAGGAACTCGGCTCTGATCATCTCTGGTGTCAGCTGGATCCCCGAATCTTCACACCTGCAGACAGGTTTTCAGGATCGCCATCAGTGCCAGAGGGGCAGGCCTACCTGGAGACCCTGGTTAGTGTAAACAGCAATATGAGGTGCTTACCAGGACTCTGGCAGAGCAGGAGGCTCATCAGGGAAGGCAGCAGGAGGTGCAGAGAGAGGGAGGATGTCTGTGTTGTAATCCACGGACCTGGGAGAGACATATACATCCTTTATGCTTCTCCTGAAGCGCAAAAACAAGCAAATCCTAACAATAATTAATTGAAAAATCTTACTTTGAACAGTAAGATTGGATGTTGATAGAAAATAAAAGCAATATTTTAAGTGAATACTTAATTTAAATCGTATTGGATAATCTAGAAACTGGGCAGAATGTTTAACTACTTTCTAAATTCCATTCACATGAAGCCTTTATATTTATCCAAAAATTAGCTGTAGCATGACTTCCAAGATCCTTAAAGGACATTTGACTGGAAGTCTACCCTCTAACTTTACACCCTGTTCCGCTTCAGGAAGTATCAACAAACCTGTAACAATCAGGAGCGTGTGCCGATAATTAGCTGTAAGCGCACATCAGACTGTTTGCTATAAAACGACAATGTGATCTGTGACAAGACGTGAAGCAGTCGTACATTTGGGGCATATCAAAGGACGGATATGCAGGAAGCTGTTTAGACTGTGACATGTTTGAAATACCAGAGAATTTTCTAATTAAGAAATGGTGGAATCAACCGCAAATCTGACAAAATGTCATTATTGGGTATTTTAGCAGAACCGTGATGCCAACAAAATGGTTTGGACACAAAGTGAACTATCTACCAATGTCCAACAAGAAACCTTGAAGAGAAGAAAGCGTGCTGGAGGACAGGGGACTCTGGAGAGATTGAGCAAAGCAGAATAGCTGATGATCGCTTCCTTTTGTAAAATATTGCATGAGCAGACAAAGCGCTGCAGGCAAGAAGGGCACGAAGCATTAACAGCAGCCAATAAGTTCCGTTCAGATGTGTGAAACTTTCCAGTAATAGCTCCAACTGGGAAAGCAGCTATCGTCTTGCTGCTGTTTCCAGATCAACACAGTTGTGCCTTCATTTAGTGCCTTATTCTGTTGTCTGAGTTTAATTACAGCACTTAAATATCTTGATATTTATTCCTGATCAGCTTTGTTTCCTTTGGTACCTGATTCCAAAAACTCAATCATGGAAGATAAAATGTAAAAGTTTCTGCAGAAGGGTCAAGTGGGAAAAAAAAATGTTTGCACAGAAAAGTGTGCACAAATAGAACAGGACAAACTAGAGCTGTGTTTGCTAACACACTACATCAAATACCACTTCCTTGCTGTTCTTTCAGGCTGAAGACTGAATAAATCATTATTTCTTCATGTTAGCCTCCATACAGCCTGACCTAGATTCTTTAATAGAGATACTTGAGCTAAATCCGTCTACAAAAAAAGAGGAATGATTTCATTTATCATCTTCTATTTCATCTGGATGATCAGTTATAGACTAAATTATGTCTTTTCTATGAACGCGAGAATAAATAACCAGTCTAAAAGTTGAGATTCAGAGCTTTGAAGTGCCTAAAGTGGAGGATGCTTTCCCAGCCTCTGCCTCTATGAATGTGTTATGAGCCTTGGCGGATCTATTACAAGTGGACAATCTGACATCCAGCGTCCTGGCAGGTGGAGGAAGTTGTTTGGACTTCTCTGTTACATATTCATACTGTACCACTTTGAGCTTTGCTTGCTGTAATGCTGTTTGCCAGATAACGGAACAGACACAGAGGCGAGTTAATGATTGGACTTTGATGGAGGATTTAGAGGGAAATATCCTCTTCAACAGCATCAACATAAGCTTTAAAACTTGTCTAAAACATAACATGTAATATATCTCACTTCAACAATCACTAAGAATCTATTAACGATTAAATTATCTTCAATTAAGGTCTTGTAAACACAGGAATTCCTGTAAAAGATGGAAACTTGTACAGTATAAACAAAAAACATCATGACTTCAAGTGGATTCCTTTTGCTCAGTGTGAGAAAATTGCAGTATTTTTAACTTCTTATTAGATGCTGTTAGAGTTTGGTTCTCAAATCAAAACAGGAAGTAAAAAATCTATGCTGAGCTTAAGCAGTCTTCTCCAGCTGCTGATCAGGATTGGTTTAAGTCAGCTGGAAGGTAAAAGCCTCCCTGGTCCGAAGGACTGTAAAGCGCTTCTGTTAAGACTCAGCAACAATGAGCACACGCACGCATTAAACAGGTGACCTACCTTCGAGGAGAACTGGTGGGGAGTGAGTTGGAGTCGGAAAATAAAGAGTTTGAATCTGATTTCCTCCATTTTACAATCACTTCCTGCAAGGAAAAAACAACAATATAAAATACAGAACATGAGTTTTAAAAAGCACTTTAGGTCAACAGGAAAATAGTCAACAAACGATGCAATGAAAAACAATTCTTACCTCATACATAACAAACAAAGACTATACAGTATAAAGCTAGGAATTAAAATATGCAGCAAGTGCGACAGGGATTTATATTCAGCCATATTTTAGTTTGGCACCACTAAGAGAGATCCAGTGCAAAAAATGTCTCCAGATCCCAACCAGGAAGTTAACCAAAGCAGGTTAATCGTTCAATCCATCCGACTTTATGGAAGATTAAAAATAACTATTTGGAAATCTGGAACTTCACCCTGATCATATAAAGTAAATAGTGAAACATGGTGGTGGCAGCATCATGCTGTGGGGATTTGGTTGCTGCTATGTCACATTTAATCCATATCTAGAGGTTGTATTCTGATAAAATGATTGATTGCCTTCCATATATAGATTACTAGTGGAGTTATTTTACAGAAAGCCATAAAGGCATAAAGAGTGGAGACTGAAAGGAATTTACCTCATGATGGAGAAACTGAGGTTGTGGAGGGCGTGTCGTGAAGCCAGAAGAGCTGCTCTTAAAGACTTCATACCTTAACAAAATGTAACAGCTGAATTAATGTTATATGGTTGTAAAAAAAAAAAATGAAATAAAAATATAATTTTTTGGGGTCTTACCTCTGCAGGGGACAGAGGTGAATCTCCAAGTCGCTCTCCAGATATTTGGGCTTTGGTTTATAAGTCCGAAGACCCGGGGCTGGATTCTATAATAAGATTTCACTAAGTAAATATGTAGAAAGAGGAGTTTCCCGTATGAAAAAAGCAAGTAATATGAAGCAAATCTCAGCCATACAAAGATCCTGAGAGGGTTTGCAGGAACAGGCCTGAGCAGATCTGCAGGAGCGCTGAAGGATAATGCAACAGTCTCCTTTGCTGCTACAGGCTCCTCTTCATTCAGCTCAACTTTAACGTTCTTCGTTCCAATAATTTCATCTTTGTCTTCAACAGGCTCCTGTGCTTCCTAAAGGGAAATTAATAAAACATAAAAACTGAAATATTGGAGGTAATTTACACCTCAATCGAGGAGCTTCATAGTTACCGGAGCTCCAGCACGAAGAGGTCTGGCCAGTGTTGTGGGTATACAGGAGTTAAAAGCTTCCCAAGCAGACACACGCCAGTAAGCCATGAGCTGATAGTGCTGGGGAACCTGGATAACATCACAGATGGCATGCTTAAATGCACAAAGTTCCACTGAGCATTAAAACCAAGAAGAAAGCAGCATTTAAAAAGGGCTAAATGCGTATGTTTTTTTTGCAGTCTAAATAAAACCTATAATCATTCACAATTCACCAAAAGAAAACTCTTCTGTGGTTCAGAAAGAGCAAATCGCTCTGCCGGTTTATTGCTGTCAGGACCTCCTACCATCTGTTATTTAAACTGCTCCACATGAACTCCTGGTTCTGTAATATTTGCCCCCATTTACAGTCCTTCAACACATCATATCACTTTCTCTGATACTCCACACCTGCAAAAACAATATATAAATCTCACGCCCCTTTATGCTGCTTTCCTGCATGTAAAAGAACGGATATAGGCTGAGAATCACTGCAGACAATGGGAAGAAGGTTCCAGGAAAAACGTTAACATCAGTTTCCGCACAGGCACACATAAATGCGATGTGCTGTAAATCGTTAAAAACTGATGGGAATTAGTGGAATTACACTTTGCTGCAACTTTTCATGCAGTAAAATGGGGAGTTTGCTTCAGGTCTTGAATATTTTTCACGTCTAAAAGGCATTTTTTTACTATAAAAACTGTAAATGGAACTAGTTTAAAGTGGCAGTTTTGGAAAGAGAAAAAAAAGCTAAGCTTATTCCTTCAGAGGTCAACAAAGCTTCTAATTACCAATTTTCAGTGTTTTTTTCCCTCTGACATCCTACAGTAGGAGTAAAGGTGCAATTAAATTTCTCTAAACTGCAGAAGCTAAAATTTAACTGTTCATTAAAGCAAGATTACAATTTTTTTTCCTAAACATGGCCAATTGATAAAGGTTTCCTCCACTCTGAATTTATCTGCAGTAAAGGAAAATAAACTGACCTTAAACTGATGTTTATTGTTAAAATGAGCAATTTATAGATTTGTATTTGATGCTCATTAACTCTAAGGCTCTACCTGAACGTCCCTTAGCGTAGCAGATGAATGTTAATGGCTCATTGAATAATTAACGTGGGAAGAAAGATGATTTTAGGAGGGATGAAAAGCTGATAAAGGCTACTTGGAGCCTCTAAACTTGCATGTCCACATTTCCCTCTCAGTGCTCCTGTCCACAGGCCTGAATGTTAAGTTAACCGCTGATGCTAAGATAATCTGAGTGTGAGAGCATATGACTGTCTGTCTCTGTGAAGCACTCGCAACCTGACAGGTGTGTTCATTGCCTTTTGGCAAATGTCAGCTGAATAAAGTAAGGCTGCAGAACCTCATGGATATATAGTGCTGCAATAATGAATAAACTTTGGGTTTCTACACATTTTCATGATTATTTCTCGGAAATTCTCTTTGTTCAGTTTGGAAAATATATTAAAAATAAAACATATCTGGTAAGGAGTTAAATATGAATGAATTTACAAATATTTTTACATGGTATAGTTTTAGTTTCCTCCCTCATCCAGACTTGTAGGCTAGCAGAAAGTCCGGTGTTTCCAGACAGAAAATGTTTTTCCCTGATCTTATTATTGAATTACAATCCAACACTGCTGCTGGTTACGCATCCAGTGATATATGAGGGAGCTGCCATGTGAGAAAGCCAGGTGCTTTGGTAAGAACTGACCTGGAGCTTGAAGAAAGGAATGTGTGCTGTCACCGTCACATCAATAGGATCCACAGGCAACGCCACCAAATTCCTGAGAGCCTTGAAATATCAAGAAGACAAATGGCAGTTTTTATGCAACTCAACACTGAGGTCCACAGCTCTGCAGGGCGTCTGAATCAAAGATTTAATTAAAGTACCAGAAACTGAACTTCCTCACTGATTTTATGGCCGGATTAAATACAGGAAGTAATAGATAAAAATTGTTCCACATGCCTGATTTCTGTATCTGTGCAGGCTTCATATAAAACTGTTTTAGGAAATCCATTGTAAAACTTTACATTAAATACAGTTAAAGATGTTCTCACCATGGGATTGTTCTCAGTGGGGAACGGTGGTAATATGTTGTCAGGAGACAATAAATCACATGTTTTATCCTTAACTGGGGAAAAAAAGAGGGAAAAAAGGTTCAACGTGTCATAATGAGGTTGTTTCAGAACAATAAAGCTCAACCTGTTCTCTACAGAGGGAGCCTTCTTCATACCATCAGCCAGTTTCTTCAACAAGGTCAGTCTGCACTGCATCCGGCCTCGAATCACAACCTGGAAGACAGAGACGAGTTCGACCTGTCGCCACTTTGCCACAGTTACACTATCTGGGAGGAGTTTGAGGTTGACTCTGACTAATTATTTTCTGACATTCAGGACTTCTTGTTTCCTTCCTTTCTCCATAATGACTCTGTAATGAGGTTCTGTGTACTCAAACAAGACCCCTTATTAGTATCATGCTGCATGTTTAAACCTTGGCGAAATTAGAAAAAGGCTTTCCAATGGAAACCAATCAGATTTGGTCAATTTTTAGTTGTTTACTTTTGTTTATTTTATATTTTAGCTACACTCATCTAAAAAAGATAACTTAATACATAACGAATATGCTTCTAAATTCTAAATCGAAACACTAATGATAAACTGGACTGAAAGACAATTATACATTGACTCTGAAATTTCCACACGGCTGAGCTGAAAGTGACAGGGCTGCAGGGGTGCTAACCCCTCTAATGAGGCCCACGGAGAAGATGATGTGCTTGTTCATTCATGCATAGATATTCAAACAAACCTTGCTGACCTTTTTACAGAAATATATTATTCAAACTCCAATATCGCACAGTCCAAACTAGATTTGTTTGGCATGTACCTTTCGAGCTGCCTGCTGAAAAAGTGTGAGGGCTCTCTGTCTCAGTTCCAAGTTAATATCGATGTGCAGCTGGAAGACTGGTTCTCCGTCTGGATCCTAGGAGAGATCGGGAAAGTTTTAGGGTGACATTTTCCTGTCCAGTAAGCAAAGGAGGTTGCAGAGCAGGGATCTGATTGGTCAGCTGCAGTTGCCAAGGCAGGTGTTACAGTACTGAGGTGTGTAAAACAAGAACAAGATATATGGATAGCTTGATAAGTTAGATTTTCTTTAAAAGTTTTAATTATTCATTTTAAAAACGTCTATTTTATTACTGGCAGACTGGTACATTTAACCTGTTTGTTTCCAACAGTTTTGAAAGAGGAAGAAAAGGAAGCTGAGCCAATATATATGAATGGAAAGTTGAGTGGAAGGAAAAGTGCAATAGAAAGGGTGCGTAAGAAACAGAGGTGAACAAACCGTTAAAGGTATTGTGAAGGATTTTCATGAATTTTTTAAAAGACTCGCCCTCTCCACTTTGAAAAACGTGCATGCGAGAGCTCGAATGAGCCCATTTTTCATCATGCATGCTCTATTTAAAAGTTGCTGTTTTTATAGCTTATATAGGTTTACTGTGTCCTATATACTATATAGTGGACTTAAAAGTGAACTGACCGTTTGGACATATGATCACTTAATTTTGCTCCATTGGTGAAGTAACTTCTCCTTCACAGCGCAGTGTCTGCATCATCTTTATTATTAGTTGCCACTGTCGGTTAGAGACAGCCTATGGCGACAGCAGGCCGCTGCAACAACAAATCCCATAATGCTTTGCGAGGAGAGCCTTCCTCTCAAAGCATTATGGGATACATCTGTCTCTTCTGAGGCCTTTCTTATCTTCTCATACACTTCATAGACACTTTTTCTCTTGCGACCCTCGGCCATTTTCAAAGAACGGCGGTGAGCTTCAATGACTGTCTGAAACCGTAGCCCACCACAGATATTTGCCTGAAAGTTTAGTTGTGCAGAAAAATTTAGCGAACGGAACGAGCTCGTAAGACGGCCGTACGTAAACATATCACCAGAATGATTCATTATTAGGAGAAACACTTATTTAGATGATCCACCTGCAAAAGAAGATCATCCTCTATACCTTTAATAGTAATGTAAAGCAGCTGATGATATAGTTTGGGAGAAAAGCTATAGGGATGCACATATACGACCTGAAATATCCTTTTTTGTGGAACCATGTTCTCTGCTGGTGTTGGTCCACTCATCAAATCAAAGGTCAGCTGATCGCCGCTATGGAAATGGTGCTTTATATCTTAGCAAGACCTGGCGGCAGCCCACACTGCTTAAATTAGTTCCATCTGGTTTAGTGATGATTTGATCACTGCAGGGTTGGCCAGTAAATGGATCCATGGAGCACTGACATGAGTCACCAGATGAGACAGAGCTTCAAGCCAAAGCAGCCCAAACAATACAGTACTCTACAGAATGTTTTATTTTTGTAAGCGGACATTTTGACTCAATTAACCCAGAGAATATTAATGTTGTGTGTTTATTACCTGTACACCAAATTCTTAGCAGGCGGAAATAAACATTTAAAAGATAAGTTGGAAGTCTCATCAATATCTCTAATAAATGTGTTTTACTTTTGCAAACGTTGGAATGGAATAAAAGAAATAAACTCTTAATGATTATTTTACATTAACTGAGGTGCACCTGGTATTATCAAAGAGGTACAGTTTTTCTTTTCAGGATCTGACAACTTCCAATCCCAACATTTTAAATGTTACAGGCACAGGCGAAGCACAGCATAATAGTTTAAGCTGAATTCTCTCCAATGTAATGTAACAGGGGATTCCAAATTTCAAAAAAGTCTCTTATATTTCATTAGAAGACATAAATTAGTCTTTACAATGGAAACATTTGCAGTACATTATTTAATCACTTGGTTAAATATCCTGAAAAATGGGATGTGGGTGTATGCATGGTGTGTGTGGGTGTGACTGCCTGGTTGTTATGGGAAGGGTTGGAACTGGTTAGGCAGTTCAGAATATAGAAGGGAAACTTGGGGAGGTGGGTTAAATGGGTAGGGATTACTGTTTATTGTTGTTTTTGTTTTGTTTTTATCTGCATTTATGTATTATTCTGTTGAGTGGAAAATATAGCAAAATTACAGTGAATATGTACATATCTACACACTTTTATATATATATTTTTTTTTCTTGTATTTTATTTTTGTATATATATTTATTTACTTGCAAAGATGGAATTTAATGAAAGAAAGTTGCAATAGTCAAAAAAAAAGGTCCAGGTATTTTTGTTTTGCTTTAAGGGAACCCAAATCTGACTCCCAAACAGAACGAGGACCAACTAAGATGAGGCTCTTTTAAACGTTCATCATGGCAGAATAACATAATATAGTGTATATGTATACAAATATTACTTACACACTGTTCTCTAAGTGTGGCTTTTGTGATGTAAAATATTTAAGTCAAAAATCTTTTCCTCATTTAATGTAATATTTATCCTGTAATTCAACTCTAGAAACAACCAGAGGTGATGAAAGGTAAGCATTAAACATGAACCAACCAAAAAGCAGAAATCAATACTAAAAGAGCTGCAAGAATTTCTCCATATTACTGGTTGTCTACTATATTTAATAGTGTCCTGTTTCCTCCAATTGTCAGACTAAATCTTACCTCCCACTTTGCTCTACTGCCCTCTACACCACGAGAACTGAATATCCACCTGCTAGTGTTTGTTAGAACTCTCTGCAGACGTCCAGATTTGTGTTTTTGTGCTGGTTGTGCATGCTGGCAGCAACAATAACTCCCCTATGAGGACAGTTTTTTCACTTTCTCCAGATAATCAAAAGTGCTTCAGTGCCATAAACTCCCCCGTAATCATCGCCTGAGAGTGAAAACACTTTAATTTATCCAGCTGACTGAGAAAAAGATCGAATACATGATCCAAACAGCTCTTCCTTCAATACATGGAAGGGTATGTTTAGGCATGCAAGCTGTTATGTTTTAAAAAGCAAAAGTTTTATCTGTGTACAAAAAAAATATGTGAAGAACATCACAACATGGTGGCGCCTGCATCATGCTGTGGCTTTACTTTAATTTCTGCTACTAAACTCAGCAACATCAGCAGCCACTTCGCATATCATCCCTTTAAATGGTTATTAGTAGTTATTAGTCCGATAGAATGGCTTCAGATTGTGCCTCCTACCTACCTACCTCAGTAGATTATCACTGAATGAATCCTAATCCTAACCCTAAGGTAATTCCATTTTTATCTCAGAGTTAATTAACCTATTTATGTATAATCTGAACAGAATTTTAGTAGTTCTTCATCTATTGAACAAAAATAAAGTTGATCGCCTTGTTGCTTATATCCAATAACTACTTCAGACCCCTGAGTTGTATTTAAACACCATATGAAATCCATATATATGTATAAATATAAAGAGTAGGTAAATAGAGTGGCTATTATCAAGGACAAGCTGCATCTTTTCAGCCATGAGAAACCTAGAAGGTAGAAGAGGTAGAAGAGCCTAGAGCCATTTTATGGGATTGCTAACCGCTAATAACGGCCATTTAATGGTTGATCACAGCTAAAGCAGATAACGACATCCAGTTTTGTATTGTTAAGCTGAACAGGCACACGTCTCATTTAATGTGTAAAAGAGGATCGTCAACACTTGAGTTTCATGTTAAACTTGCGACTCAAACAGTAGGAGGACCTGTTTTGCATCATGAAGCATCCGACTGGAGGAAAGCTTGGTTTGTTCAGGAGCGATGTCTTCATCTTGCCTCTCATCCTCCTTTTGGACCTTTAACACAATCAGCAAACAAGAGACATTTTCATCAAAAAACCCTTGCTTCTTTCTTTCAGCATTTCTTGTTTAACTTTATAATGTTCCAATAAACTACAGAATGTCACCTCAGACCTCAGGTTACTTCCCTTTTATTAGATGAAATTATTAAATGTAATGAACTCCTGTTTCTTTCACACAGCAGCTAACTCTGTGATTTGAATAATAATAAAAAAGTTATGGGGAATTTTTAAATAAAAAATAAAGCAGATGTTCTTTCTTTGTAAAACGTTTTAAAGTTTTGTCAGTGATGGTCATTGCATAAGATGTTTAAGAGAAATATGTCAAGTTTTTTTTTTTTTTTTTTGCTAAAGGCGAAAGTCCTTTGGCTGAAGAGGAAATGTTCTCCTTGTCACAGGATATGAGGCGCCCTAATTTAGTGATTTAGGATTCCCAGGTGGTGAAACTCACACTGGAAGATTACAAAACTGTAAGCCATAACACGCTGCATAAATGTTTGCGTTCTGGCCTTTAATCAGCGTTTCATTCCTCTCATAAATACATGACTTCCCATAAAACATCTGAATAAAGTATGGTGATAAAGTATGTGGATTACAGCTTAAGTGAACAGGAGATAAGAGAGGAAGGGCTGTTCAGCCTCAACTATTCACAAACTCGTATTTCAAAAAAACTGAACTTGATTTGGCCGACCTTGCCTTGTTTCCACGGTTACAAGATAAAATCAATAGCCTGAAAGCAGATTATATTGTTGTGTTTTAAGGATAAAAATCCTAAAGTGGATTCAGCGGTGAAAAACATTTCAAACATATAGAGGTTAAAGGGACTTTTAAGAGATTCATTTTCAGATGTCAACAGATCTATAAGAACAATCATTTAAAAAAAAGGCTAATTCAATCATTCATATATCGCTCTTTGACAAAAAATACATTTTAATGCAAACACTTGCTGTTATTCGGCCCTCTTTTAATTTGGTCCCCCTAAATGTGATTAAGAGCAGCCAATTAATTTAGAAGCGTAATTAAAGGAGGATGCATGCCACATTTTCAACATTTTCTAGCTTTTTCTTTCACAAAATGTTGAAAACCACTTACCTTTTTCCTGTAGCTCCACAAAACTAAATCAAAGGCTAACTTTCTGGCATTACATGTAAAATGTTATGTCTCAAGAAGGTCAAGAACAAACCATTGCTGTCATCCTTTTAGTCTAGTTGTTGCTGTTAGCATGAGGAAAAAAAAATTCTAAGTGTTTAAAGGTTAAAACTTTTAATTCGGTGATGAGTTTATAAATAAGTTGCTGCAACTGTGATCTCCACGGGTCTTAAAGCTGATTTATACTTCGCAACTGCTTTATGCTTCGTATGCGTGTGTGTCGCAGTGAAAACAGACGTCCCTGCTCCCTCCTCAGACACTCTGCTGCACCTCTCCAAAATTGTAGGTGACCGCAGACAGAGCTGCAGACAGGAGGCCTCTGATTGGTCAAATCTACATCCGCTCTATTCATGCTTATTTCCTGATTGGTACCTTACCATCTTGTTTTGTTTGTATGACTAGCATTGTGGAAAACGACTCATGAAGATGGACCAGCTAGAAGAGCGAGGTGTGCAAGAGCACTGGGAAACTTTTCACCTGGATCCCCGCTCTTTTTTCCTCTCATGTCCCTCCATCTCTCACAAAGTTGCCCCCACTTTCTCACCACCTCGACCCTATCTAGACCCACAGCTAGTTTGTGATTCTCCCGTCTTGTATTGTGGCGTGAAATAACAGTGCAGACCATGCTTCCCTATTTGGCATAAATCAAAAATGTCTGTGACAAGATTACTGCGACACACTGCTGCGGGAGAATAACCAGCCCTTTAGTCCAGAGAACAGGACTTAAAAAAAGTAGGGTCGAGTCTAGTTTAGTCCATCATCCTAAACGGCCCTTCTCCCAAACATGGTGGTGGCAGTATCATGGTTTGGGGAAACTCGTTACAGGTGGTGAAGAATGAATGGAAAGGAGGATCCTGCTGGAGGAGCAACTGATTATGGGATCTAGAAAAATGTTTCAAAGAGGCATCGGCCTTAAACCAACAGCAACATTTGAATAGTTTATATAAGCATTATATTATATTATACATTATATGATATTATATTAGCATATATATATATACTCGTACTCGTACTCGTCGTCTCCCGCTTTATCCGGAAAAGGGTCGCGGGGGGCAGCAGACTAAGCAGAGACTCCCAGACTTCCCTCTCCGCAGACACCTCCTCCAGCTCTGTTGGGGGAAGCCCTAGGCGCTCCCAGGCCAGCCGGAGAGACATAGTCTCTCCAGCGTGGCCTGGGTCGTCCCCTGGGCCTCCCCCCGGTGGGACATGTCTGGAACACCTCCCGAGGGAGGCGTCCAGGGGGCATCCGAAGAAGATGTCCGAGCCACCTCAACTGACTCCTCTCGATGTGGAGGAGAACCGGCTCTACACTGAGCCTCTCCCGAATGACCGAGCTCCTCACCCTATCTCTCAGGGAGAGCCCAGCCACCCTGCGGAGAAAGCTCATTTCAGCCGCTTGTATCCGGGATCTCGTTCTTTCGGTCATGATCCAAATTTCATGACCATAGGTGAGGGTAGGAACGTAGACCGACCGGTAAATTGAGAGCTTTGCCTTTTCGCTCAGCTCTCTCTTCACCAGGACAGACCGGTGCAGCGTCCGCATTATTGCAGCAGCCGCACCGATCCGTCTATCGATCTCCCGCTCCATTCTTCCCTCACTCGTGAACAGGACCCCAAGATACTTGAACTCCTCCACTTGAGGCAAGGACTCCCCTCCAACCCGAAGGGGACATGCCACCTTTTTCCGGTCGAGAACCATGGCCTCGGATTTGGAGGAGCTGATTCTCATCCCAGCCGCTTCACACTCGGCTGCGAACCGCCCCAGCGCACGCTGTAGGTCTTGGCAGGAGGGAGCCAGCAGAACTACGTCATCCGCAAAAAGCAGGGACGAGATTCGCTGTTCCCCAAACCAGACCCCCTCCGGTCCTTGGCTGCACCTAGAAATCCTGTCCATAAAAGTTATGAACAGGACCGGTGACAGAGGGCAGCCCTGTCGGAGTCCAACATGCACCGGGAACAGGTCCGACTTAATGCCGGCAATGCGAACCAGACTCCTGCTCCGCTTGTACAGAGAACGGATGGCCCCTAATAAAGGGCACCCGACTCCATACTCCTGGAGCACCCCCCACAGGGCAGCACGAGGGACACGGTCGAATGCCTTCTCCAAGTCCACAAAACACATGTGGACTGGTTGGGCAAACTCCCATGAACCCTCAAGCACCCTCAGCCGGACTCTCCTCTCCAGCACCCTGGCATAGGCCTTTCCGGGGAGGCTGAGAAGTGTGATTCCCCGATAGTTGGAACACACCCTCCGGTCCCCCTTCTTGTGGAGGGGAACCACCACCCCAGTCTGCCAATCCAGGGGAACTGTCCCCGACCTCCACGCGATGTTGAAGAGACGTGTCAACCATGACACCCGACAACATCCAGAGCTCTGAGATACTCAGGACGGATCTCATCCACCCCCGAAGCCTTGCCACCGTGGAGTTTTTTGACTACCTCGGTGACTTCAGCCCGGGTGATGGACGAACCCAGCCCCAAGCACCTCGTCTCTTCTTCCCCCACGGAAGGCATGTCTGTCGGGTTGAGGAGATCCTCAAAGTATTCCTTCCACCGCCCGACAATATCCTCCTTCAAGGTCAGCAGCTCCCCACACCCACTAAAAACAGTGTTAGTGAAGCACTGCTTTCCCCTCCGGAGGCGCCGGACGGTTTGCCAGAATCGCTTTGAGGCCAACCGATAGTCTTTTTCCATGGCCTCTCCGAACTCCTCCCAGGCCCGAGATTTTGCCTCTGCATATATATATATATATATATATATATATATATATATATATATATATATATATATATATATATACCTATGCATATATACATAGGTACCTTCTCTTTTTAACTATTAAGCCGATGTCATGATCCTCACTGTGAGATCAATAAAGTCAATCAATTAAAGCAGATCCTGAGTTAGAACAGCCCAGTTAAAGTTCAAAGTTGATCTAATTAAAAAGTTAATTAAAAATGTATGGTCACAGAATACTCCTAGGGCTATGTATGATTTTACTTCCACTTTATGACTTCACTGCTACCCAAACTAAATTAAAGGTATAGTTGAGGATTTTTGTGAATTTTTGAAGACACACCCTCTCCAATTAAAAAAGAAAAATGCACATGCACAATTCTGTACCGGGTCCCGAGAGGATACCACTACACTGCAAAAAATCTAAACCTAGATAAGTCATTTTTTTTCTTAAAATAAGTGCATTTGTTGTTGAATTGAGGAGGCAAAAGAGACATTTTGCCAATGGAACAAGACAATTTACACTTAAAATAAGAAAACACAATTGCATTGTCTTATTTAAAGTACATATTATCTAATTATCTTACTTTAAGAGTAAAATTACTCATTCCATTGGCAAACTATCTCATTTACCTGCTCAAATTAAGGGTGAATACACTAAATTAAAGGTATACTATGCAACCGGTGTTGACTTTCCAGCGAGGCTCCCCCCAGAGGGCGAAAGTAAAAGTGCACTATCGTAAATATGCACAGCTGTTCTACTGGTTTCTCCGTCAAGCCAGGCGCGGTTGTTTTGAGCTTAGCAGACAGGCGAATGCACTGAATGACTAACACAGTGAAAGTATGAACATGCACACAGAGAGAGAGAAACCATTCCAATGTTACTTACAATCGCATCAGCAGAAACGTGAGGTCCGCGTCAGCATTGCAGCCTTCTTTTTATTTTAGCTCTCGCCATTCGGAAAAAGCTTGCCCGATGTTCACCCGTGTACGACTCCTCTCTCTGTCCGGAGCCCTTTTCCTCTTTCTTGCCTGCTCCGACATGGGCTTTCGCTGTTTTCACGCTGGTTCCGCCATGATAACTGCACAAAGATCGCCACTGTGCTAGCAACGAGCATGCTTTTAACTGGGGGCGTGTAGCAGTTCTCGCCGTAAAGCAAGACTGACTCTCACGAGACTTCTGAGCCTGTGGGTGCGGCCCGAGGGCTCCTGCAATTGCAAGTGCAGTATTTCCCCCATTGACCACCAGGGCGGCCGAGAATACCTTTGTTCAACCTGAAATGACTCATTTAATCATCCAAAACGTTATGGAACACATTAATTAACTGAAAAATGTTGCATAGTGTGCCTTTAAGAAATTTTTACTTATTTCTAGATCGTTTTTGCAGTGTATTGAAAGCGCGCGAAAGCGTGCCAGAGCCCATTTCTCCTTATGCACGCTCTGTTTAAAAGTTGCTGTTTGCATCACTCATTCAAGCTTACTCTCCAAAAGAAGATTTACAATTTTTCCACTATGTCAGACACGTCACCAGTAAGGGAAAATGGGGATGGGCACATAGGACGGCTTTATGTTATCATATCACCAGAATGATTGACAATTAAGACCACCTATTTTGACGATTCACCCAGAAAAAGAACATCCTCCACTATAGCCTACCTTTAAATAACTCGACAAATAAAAATATGAATATTTTGTTTGGTAATGTTTGTCTTTTCTCTCCACGCTGCTGCTGAAACTCACCTTGTATTCATGCAGAGCCGACTCTCTGTCCTCCAGTATCTGCCTCTGCCTTTGCTCTGACACTGGCTCCATACCTGGATGAACCTGCCTGTGTAAAAAACACATGCATCTACAAATTAAGCTAAATGGAAGAGGAAAACATTGACAGAAGACACCAAAGAAGAGAAACAACAAATCTCTAAATCTTAAATCAACTCTAAGTTAGGAACTTATTTCATATGTATATTACAGAAAAGAAGAACTAAAAATTAACCCAATTTATTTTAGTCATGTGAGTATGTATATTCTAAGCCCTTTAGTGTTCGAAAGAACATATTTTATTTTATAAGTAAAGTAAATTAGATATTTAAATACATTTAAATATGCAAATATGAGTCTTCAGTATCTCAACTCTTCTGCAGACTGTGTTGAGGTTCTATTAAAAAATACCACTGATCCTATTTTTCTCTTTTCCTACCATCTGAGCTGGTTTTCTTGTTCCTCATTCGCAGTTTCTTGAACCTTTTTCATGAAGAGAGCCTCTTTCATCTGCCTGCTTTGCTTCACTTTCATACTGCCACAGGATAAGGCTGAAGAGGAGCGGGTGCCGAGGAAATAAAAGACGTTGGTAAGAGTTTAATGGAGGAGATTGCGTTAGACGACACAAAACAATTGTTTAAAGGGTTGCAGCCGTGTCAGCTTTAGGAGTAAAATCATTGCGGCTGTTGCTACCTTTTGTGTTGAGTTTATTGATGTCTTTGATAAGCATCTTTGCCACCCCTGCAGGCGTACAGGCATCCATTGAAGGTGGTTGGCCATGCTTAGCGCCCACCTTATCTTTAAATGTCTAAATAGAGAGAAAGATGGTAGAAAAAAGTATTTTTTTATGTACAAAAGAAAACACAACAAACCTTTTTAAAGCACAGAAATATGTACTTTAAAAAAGTTTTTTTTAAAGAACATATTTGCCTTTGAGTTTGGGTGTAAAAGAAATTATTCTGTTCACTTCTAAGCACCTTTGATTTGTCAGCCTCCTTGTTTGAACTCCGCCTGCCTTTACTTCCAGGAGCTCTGTAGGCAGGAGCTGGACGTCCTTTGTGTTCTGCAGGAGCTGAAGCACCATCGTCTGCTTTTCGGTCCAAATGGCTGTCATTGGGGATCAAAATTTAAAAAGCAAATTTAAAAAACAACAACGTAGGATTTGGGAAGTTTAAATGAAGAAAACATGAAAAGCAGGAGAGAATATACGGTAGAAGAAAACGTTCAGTATATCACTTGACTGGATATAAATGGGAATGCAAGGTGATGCAGTGGGTACTGCTGCCTTGGAGCAAGAACTTTCGAGGTTTGCTTCATGGCCCGGGGTCTTTCTGAATAGGGTTTGCATGTTCTCCTTATGCATGCATGCATGGGTTTTCTCTGGGTACTCCGGCTTCCTCCCACAGTTCAAAAACATGACTGTTAGGTCAATTGGCTTCTATAATTCTCCTTAGGTGTGAGTGTGTGCATGAATGGTTGTTTGTCCTGTTTGTCTCTTTGTTGCCCTGCGATGGACTGGCGACCTGTCTAGGGTGTACCCCGGCTCTCGCCCATTGACAGCTGGAGATAGGCACCGGCACCCCTTTTGACCCCAGCATGGATAAGCGTGACGGAAAATGGATCAATGGATGTATTCAATTTCACATAGACAGAAAGAAGTTAGCCGTCCTCATTAGCAGGTAGATAAACACATGGTTGGAGAAAATGGTAGTGCCTTGTTAAAGTATTAATGCATCCAGATCTTTTTATCATTGAGATACCTTATTATATGTTTTTAGGCTGTATATGTATTTACTGTACATTACATATATTTATTGATATTTTGCTGAACCATGTTTGTCTGCAGTTGCAGCTATGAGATTTCTGGTGCATGTTGTTGCTCTTAGGGAAGTGAACAGCTGACAAAATATGAGAAGGCATAATGGAAAGTAAAACAAATGAAGAGTAAACTGAAACACAGCCGATTTAAGGTAGCTAAGAACCATATTGACCCTCTCAAAATGAACAGAATAGGCCTCTACCTTCACATACTGAGTGGAGAAAACATCTAAAAACACTGATCAATGCCTCCGATTCTCCCAGATTTGCCTCACAGATTTTTTTCCCTCCACATTTTTTATCCTAAATATCTATTACATCCCAAGAGTCACCTTTTAGTTCAATATTATTTTACAAATAGAAGCATTTACTTTACATTATATTATTATACTTATTATACTAAAAAGGAAAAAGCGAGACCAAAGTAGAAAAATATAAAATCAATAGAAAATAATGAAAAAATGTTTCTGTATTGTGAATGGAACAGAAAGACATTGATTCAGGGTGGAGCTACCGTCTACTTTAAAGCTTTAAATAATCTTCAACAATGGATGTTTTATAAAGATATCAACTTTATAAAGAGTTTCAAAAAATCTCAGTTTGTCTCTAAAACTCTGTTTGCTTTGTGGGTTGCAAACAGAGGAAGAGCTTTTTTAGCCACTAAATAACTATCAACTCTGAAGTAACTTCCAATCGACACAGACAGACTAATTACATGCAGGATTTGAATGGAAAAACAATTGAAATAATATAAATGCAGAAACATTTTTGCAGAAACTGGAGAATATCTAAATCCAGGCCATTTGTTTCGAAATGCAGCTGCTTTGTTGGAAATTGTTCTTCCATTTCCAGCGTTGCGTTTCTTATAAACAACAACATTGACGTTTGCAGCAAATACCTTTTAAATAACTTTCAGAGAAATAGTGGAAGGTTGCAGCTTTGGCCTGTTGATTCCAGGATCAATTTCCAGGCCAGAAGGAAGCTAATATGAGGGCTGTTTATTGTGATATACTGCTTGGACAGAGGAGGGGTGTGGGGGTGGCAGCCAGGCTCTGCAATGAGGTCACCTGTCACATATTTTCTGTATCACTCCCCTCATATTTATTTGTGATTATGAAACAACTCCTAATAAATTGGTATAAACCAACAAGAACCCTATAAAATTCACAGATTTATTACAGTGTCTATAAAGGATAGAATTAGATTGATTATATGTTAGGAAAATACAGAACTGAAGCCCAGTGATTAAAATATGACTGAGTAAACGTTAGTTTCTTCATCCATGTCAGGGAAATCATTCAAACAATCCAAATCAAACACTGATTCGGTCTAGAGCGTTGGTTATTTTTTACGGACTTCACATGCATATAGCTTTTCAATCATTTCACTGCACAGTGGGAAACAACAAACACAGAGAGTGTTTTATATGCTAAACATCCATTAAGAAGCATTATCTATTCTGATATCACTGCAGCAGCTACCAAGTTTTTTTTATTTTTTTCCCCCATGAATTATTAACTTTTGGTGGAGATAACAGCAGACAGTGCAGTGGAAGAAGCTACTGCTGCGTGATGGATGGCCCCATCATTCTCATGGGAGCAGAATTAAACATTAGGTTTTTTTGTGCCAGCCGGAAAAATAAATGGGACGCTCTAATCAGCACACAAAGCCATTTGCGGAGAATCCAGTTTTGCAGGCATGTTTTTCGCCTAAAATGTTTATTGGCAGTTTGCTCGGAAAGCCTTGGAACATTTTTATTTTCTGATAGGAGAAACAAGAAATGAAAGAAATTGCTTTAACTATTTATGTGGGACATCCAAGATGCAGGAAAACAAAACAGGAGAGAGGAACTAGAAGTTCAACCTTGGGTATTTGCTCAGGGTTTCATGCCAAAAACGTTGTGTAACCAAAGCTTTGAGAGATTCCTCTTCAGATAAAGGTTGTGCAGAAAGCTTGTAAATACATATAAAATGTGAGTATGGAATGATATGTTGGGGTAGAATTGAGGACAGGGGTAAATCTTGCAGCCAGGAAGAGCAGCTTGACTTTTTTTTCTTGTATCAGTTTTGGGTGGAAAAAAAAAATCAAAACTTTACTCTGTTTTCAATTTTACATATAGAAGTAAAGTATGTGTTTATGGCAGTAGGAACGCTTTTTATATGAAACCTGCAAAATGCATATATTATGGTAAAGTACAGTTTAAAAAGTACTGTATTTGTTTGTTTTTTTCTTTCATACTTTTTCACAATGCATAAATAAAAACCCTCCATGCAATAGTGTTTTACTTGCACTACCATTGAGTGGTCTTTTACCTGCGTGCTAAATGAGGGGCTGAGCTCCCGCTGACAGTGCACAGGTAGGGCTTGGTGTTGAATTGTGAGACAACCAGCTGAAAGGTGAACTGAGACGTCTCATACTGGAGAGGACAGAAAATCACGGTGAGCGTCGCTTCTCCATTGGCTGGAATCACACCTGGAAAAGAAAGGCGGCTCTGAGGTTAGCATGGGGTCTGACCGCTTACTTTCAGCCCAGATCAAAAATGGCTGATACGGTATATCCAGATGCTACCCACACATAAGAGGAACTAGGTAGCATGAAGCTTGAATTTATCTCTAAGATTTAACTGCATCTCAAATAAAAACAGCTTGAGAAAAAAATCCAAAAAGAACGCTCAATTTAGGAGTGAAAAGGGCGGCTGATGTTTTTGGCTGATATTAGTGTTTTTTCACTTTTTTTCATGACACTGGCCATTGTGCCTGTACATTACCACTAACCTCCATTTGCTATATTTTGTTAATGTTTTGTTTAGGGATGCACAATATAATCGGCCCCCTATCAGTATCGGCCTGTATCGGCCTTAAAACTGAATATCGGACATCGGCCACCCCACCGATATTTAACCCGATATTTGATCAGCTTCTGAGTTTCTAAAGTCTAAAAAAAAAAAATAAAAATACTACTACTTCTTCCTCAAAAACTTATTTTTTACAGACTTAAAAACTTCTAAAGATGAGGGAAAAAATATTGATACATTAAAATATCACAATATCTTCATATGCTGATATATTGCCATTTAAAAACACCATATCAATCTCTTTTACCAATGAAATATTGCTATATGTCATCGTTATGTTACGAAATCCCCCGAGAATCCACGAAATGTTGCCATATTTTTATATGTTGATATAAAGACGTGGTATCGATCTATTTTACTAACAAAATCTCACAAGAATTTGCAAAATATCACGAGAGTTTGTAACAGAACAATGAAATTTCACGAGATTTTGAAAGTAAAATAGATCGATACCGCGTTTTTAAAAATCAATTTGATATCAGCATATGAAAACATATTTGAGTATATTATTTTTCAAAGTGTCAGAAAGGGATAACAAAACTGCTATTTTCAATGACTACTTATTTTTGTCCAGCTTTAACATCAGTATCGATATCGGTTATCGGCTACATGAGGTTTAAAATATCGGCATATCGAATATCGGCCAAAATCCCAATATCGTGCATCCCTAGTTTTGTTTGATTTTGAATAGATGTTTCTTTATGTTTGGAATTAAAACTTTTTATCATGTAAAGGAAGGAACCATATCGGCTCCAAGAATCGGCCCAAAACTATTAGCAGCAGACAGGCTCGGACCGGGAACGATTTTCAGCCCTGCATTTTTCAATCTACACCAGCCCACTTATGGACACCCCCCACCCCGGAAAAAAATAAATAGAAGCACAGTCAAATGTGTGCGTCTGAAATGTGAAACACAAAAACGAATACACATTGTGGATTAACAGATCTATCTTCAAGCATCACAATACAACCATCACCAAGACTTCTATAATGCGGCTTTACTGGCTTTGGTTATTAACATGGACACAACAGTGACTGCTGCTGCGTAACGTCCACACTCACCACATCAGCAGGGTTGCCAGATGTCACTGACTCACGTTTTCCAGCCCAAAAATTTTCATAAACCGCCTGGACGAACGAAATCTCGCCCAATTTGAACCAAAGTCTATTGATCTCTTAGGCCATAAATCTAAAGAAAAAAATTTTTTAACCATAGACAACCATCATAAACTGTCAGATTGAGAAACATCCCAACCTGGCAACAATGCACGTAAGACAGGAAACTTTGATGAAAACCCAATCATGCACCGCAACATATTTTTGCAAAATATTCAAACATAAATTTGCCCAATATAAGAGGAATAATCAGCCTTAAAACTGACTCCTTGATCGCTAGAAAAAAAACTTTTATTAGTTTGAGAGAATATGATACAGAGTTTTGTGTTTTGGTAAAAGCTAAAACATTTCTATAAAGTAACCAGACCTACATGTAAATAGTTGGCCAACAATAACTGAACCAAAGATAAAGCTTCAGTTAACACCTGACTGTCAACAGCTTTATTACAAATAGATTAACAGAGTTGGGCCAAACAACAGATCTGCAGTATCTAAATACAGAGGTGTCAAGTATAGAAGTACAAATACTTTGTTACTGTACTTAAGTACACTTATTAAGTATCTATACTTTACTCCCTTACTTTTTTTCTTCCTACTTCTGACTTTTACTCATTACACTTTCACACAAGTATCTGTACTTTCTATTCCTTACATTTTTAAAAGAAACATTACTTGTTACTCTTGGCTTCGATTTAATGTTTATGAATATTTATTTCATGTCATGCGCGCCATCCAATGCAGATTATTAGCACCATCCACATCTAGTGAAAACTAGTGTAATTGGATGAGTCATAGAACGCAAACACTCATTGATTAGCTAAAGGAAATCATCAGAAGCAAGCAGGTGTTCTTCAAACTGCAAACGTGTATTGTCTATGCTATTGGATAAAGTTGGATTCAGAAAAAGATGTTGAAGTGTCTGAAAGGTCGGAGACTGGCGAGAGCGACAGAGACCAACAAGGCCTCCCTCATCCTTGGCCCCATCTTCAAGAATTTTTTCGAAATAGTCGAAAAATTGATCTTTCAATTCATATAGTTGCATCCGGCTGTTTTTTTTAAAGGTTACTTTATACTTTTATAAGTTTTTGGAGCACATACTTTTTCACTTTTACTTGAGTAAAGAGGTAAAGTTGATACTTCAACTTTTACCAGGGTGTTTTTAAACTGCAGTATCTATACTTCTAATTAAGTAACAAATGTGTGTACTTTTGACCCCACTGTCTAAATATCTTTTTGGGCTAGCAATTAGAGGAAAACAACATTAACTTTCTTCATTCTTTAGATGTTTTGAAATATATATCCTTTTTTCACAGTCTCATAAGCTACAGTCATTGCACTTTTTATCAGGCGTTTTGTTGAGTTCTTTCTATCTTTTAACCTAGATCACAATCAGACGTTAAAATGGTGTTCAGTTCTGCGTTTGGTAAATTTGAAGTCATCTGGTGAAGCTTTGCATTCATTGTGTGTTTGAAAGTCCAATTTGTTCCCTCCTTTAACTTCATTGCTGCAATATCTCTGCATAATATTCTGCCCTAATAACCCGGGGATCCCTACTGCAATCAATAGGTGAATCAGTTTCTATGAGATTCAAGCTTGTTTGTGAATATTCTACTAATAGATCATCAAGACACAGACTTTGCAAGAAAAATACACTTGCCTCAATAGATACAAAAATCATAAATAGAAAATAGTTTCTATATGAATATAAAATAGGTGTAGATTTGGATAATATTGCAAGGTGTTTGCAAGGAACAGGAACGCATATTGGAAAAGGCGAAATCCTCCTGAGCCATTAGAGGTTGATTAAGAAATAGGAGGATTTGTATTATTTGATTGCCCTATCTGCTGAATGCTGGTGTGTTAGCCAGCCCCTCTGGGGTTTCTGCATGTTCTACCTTTCCATGTGGTTTCCTTAGGATACTCTGGCTTCCTCAATCAGTGCAAAACATGCTTGTTAGTTAAATCAGCCTCACTAAATTTCCCTTAACTAAGTGTGTGTAGAGGACTGTTTGTCCTGTGCGTTTCTCTGTAATGATCTGGCATTATGTCCGAGGGGAACCTGGATTGCTTTACTCCACAACTCAATAGGATTTAAGTAGGTAGAGAAGATACTAGAGAAACTTTTAATTATATAACCCTTAAAATGCGGTTTATAGAATAGAATAACTATTTAAATAACAGAGCAGGGAGGATGGTGGGAGATGGAAAAAGGAAAGAGATTTATTGTGGGCATAGTTTGCTTCATGCTTAAATTGTTTTTTGTAATCTAGCTAGTTTTTAATACTTCATATACGTCATGCTGTTTAATGTCACCTTTAATTCATCTTCCTTATATCTTTATATTTGAACCTTAGTTCCTGTTTGGTCGTAAACTCAAAAGTTACACCTTAGATTTGCTGATGAACAAAACATCTCCCACGGCCTTTCCGTCTGTTTAGGGCCACAGAGGGAGGAGAAGTTGGACGCTAAACCATAACATCGAACTGCAACTGCTGTAGTGACTGTTTTCATGCTCTGCTGTTGTTTGTATAAGCAGAACGGAAGCACATAACAGCCTCTTCAGAAAAAAAAACACACACACAAAAAAAAAAAAACTGAAACTCATTTGTATCTCTCCTCTTCTCATTCCAACGTTTTAAGCCAGCTGTAATCCGGATCCCAAGTGCTTTTTCCGCCATCTGTTGTGATGCTTTCCAGACCATGAATGCTGCTGTGTGGCAGAGAGTGGAAACTAGAGGGACCCTTCAAGTCATGCAAAGACTTATGAACAGCTCTGAAGGTTGAGGAAAGCCTTGCACATTAGCATTGTCTAGCGGGTGGATTCTATTTTTAGACGACTAAAATGGGAGTTAAAAATACACTTGCATATTTTTCCACATTTTCTCATTATAACCTCAAACTCTATTCACTAGGATTTCTTTATATGTTGGTTTATAATCATTGAAAAGAATCATTTTCGATGCTAAATAGAATCATTTTCCAAATCTTTACCTTTGAGGGGGTGGATGGAGAAGGCTTGGTGTGGCTGAATGATGAACACTTCAAACTCAAAGTCAATTGGACAGCTACATCTCATGGGAATTGAATGATGAACACTGCAGACAGGGAAGAGAAGAAAAAAAAGGAGAAAAACAGATCTTATTTATCTATGACTGGACACAAACACGTGAATGGAAAGCAAGGTTGGATGTATTGAAGAATACAAAGAGACAGGTAAGAGCCTGGGCGGAGGAAAGGTCACAAAACTCCCCGCCACGGATCTCAACACACACCTTTGTCCGAGCGGTACAGCTGGCAGGTCGATGCGAGGAGGGATGTGCAGGTCATCGATGACAGGGTAAGCATGAACTGGAATTAACAGGTTCTCCTCCCCCTTAAAAGGAGCGGGGGCGGATGCCATGAAGAAAGGGAAAGAGATATCATGAGAAAGAGGTAAAAAAAGACGGGATGTTTCATTGAAAGCGATAGGATACAGAAGAGGATTAGAGCCACTGAAAAAATAAAAAAAGTTAACTGATTTTTAAATTTTATTTCAGTTTAATATGGGGGAAAAAGTCAGAATTTTGCCTTTAATCTCAGAACTCTGACTTTTTTCTCAGAATTCTGACTCTAATCTTAGAATTCTGACTTTAATCGCAGAATTCTGACTTTAATCTTAGAATTCTGACTTTAATCTCACAATTCAGACTCTAATCTGAAAATTCAAACTTCTTTCTAAGAATTCTGACTTTAATCTCAGAATTCTGACTTTAATCTTAGAATTCTGACTTTAATCTCACAATTCTGACTCTAATCTGAAAATTCAGACTTCTTTTTAAGAATTCTGACTTTAATCTCAGAACTCTGACTTTAATCTCCGAACTCTGACTTTAATCTTAGAATTCTGACTTTAATCTCACAATTCTGACTCTAATCTGAAAATTCAGACTTCTTTCTAAGAATTCTGACTTTAATCTCAGAATTCTGACTTTAATCTCCGAACTCTGACTTTAATCTTAGAATTCTGACTTTAATCTCACAATTCTGACTCTAATCTGAAAATTCAGACTTCTTTCTAAGGATTCTGACTTTAATCTCAGAATTCTGACTTTAATCTCCGAACTCTGAGTTTAATCTTAGAATTTTGCCTTTAATCTCAGAACTCTGACTTTTTTCTCAGAATTCTGACTCTAATCTTAGAATTCTGACTTTAATCGCAGAATTCTGACTTTAATCTTAGAATTCTGACTTTAATCTCACAATTCAGACTCTAATCTGAAAATTCAAACTTCTCTCTAAGAATTCTGACTTTAATCTCAGAATTCTGACTTTAATCTTAGAATTGTGACTTTAATCTCACAATTCTGACTCTAATCTGAAAATTCAGACTTCTTTCTAAGAATTCTGAATTTAATCTCAGAATTCTGACTTTAATCTCCGAACTCTGACTTTAATCTTAGAATTCTGACTTTAATCTCACAATTCTGACTCTAATCTGAAAATTCAGACTTCTTTTTAAGAATTCTGACTTTAATCTCAGAATTCTGACTTTAATCTCCGAACTCTGACTTTAATCTTAGAATTCTGACTTTAATCTCACAATTCTGACTCTAATCTGAAAATTCAGACTTCTTTCTAAGGATTCTGACTTTAATCTCAGAATTCTGACTTTAATCTCAGAACTCTGAGTTTAATCTTAGAATTATAACTTTAATCTCAGAATTCTGACTTTATTCCATCATTAAACTGAAACAAAATTTTAAAATCAGTTTTTTCTTTTTTTCAGTGGCTCTTCTGTAATAGTAGGGCGACAGTGGCGTTGGATGTAGGAGTTTGCCCTGAAGTCGAAGGATTGAAGGTTCAAGCCCCGACTCCGACAAGACACTTCAGCTGCATTGTCTACTGAAGGTCAGAGGGCCCGGTGGCGCCAGTGTTCTGTCAGTGAGCCCCAGGGCAGCTGTGGCTACAATGTAGCTTGCCACCATCAGTGTATGAGTGTGTGCGTGAATGAATGTAGTGTAAAGCGCTTTGGTCAAGTCTCCTGACTTGAATAAAGGCGCTATATAAGTACATACCATTTAGTAGGGAGCAGCTAGGGGGTTCAAATGTTTGCAGGATTCTACAAAACTGAATGTAATTGTCCAACTTTGCTAAATGCTATTTTTTAAATAGCATTTTTAAATATGACCAACAAAAGGGTTACGGTTAGGGTTAGCTAACCTTGCAGTGAACACGGATGCAGTCGTAGAAGTAGCGCCACTCGTCTGGGCAGAAGACAACCTTCAGGGTGTAGGAGAGGCCTGGGATGAGCCGACACTTGGCAGACGCACGGAAACAAAAATCAGAACTGATTGCATTCATGGAGGAACGGTGGGGAGAATTTCACATTCAGGTTGAGAAATACCTTTTTGGTGTAAGTTGTATGGAAATACTTTGTCAGGGTTGGAATTATATGAATATTAATCACTTCAGATGAGATGTTGATTAATTTCTAATGGACATAAGAGAAGAAAAAAAGAAAATAAAGAAATATTATACCTTTGTCACGCATATAGGGCTTTGAATTAGTTTTTAATAATTAAAAAAAAGGTAGAAACTGGATAATAGGACTGCTAATGCGGATAATTTACAGATTAGTAGTTATTTTAATACTGTACATGTCCTGGTTTAATGCTCAACACCTCTCAAAAGCAAAGAAAACCTTTTCATAATTTTTAAACTTTTCCATGATATTACAACAATATAACTCAACTGAGCTCAGAGTTTTAATAAAGCAAAATACTAAACGGTTCAAGTGTATTAAATACTTTTGCAAGCTGAACCAGTGTTTTCCTCACCAGGATCTTAGTGTAATTCTTTCCCAAATCAAAGCTGGTGAAATGGAGCTCTGCAGGGTCTGCTTGGATCTGACTGTTGCTCTTCAGTTTGGCGTAGATTTCTAAAAGGGAAAATTAACATGTTGAGAAATTCAGTGTAAATCAAATATACGGTAAGGAAAATATGTAGTTGAGCACTCTGCTATTTTGCACGCTTAGAAATCAATGATGGAGGGGTCTGAAATTGTCATTGTAGGTGCATGTCCACTGTGAGAGACATAATCTAAAAAAAAATAAAAAAAATCCAGAAATACTAATATATAATTTTTTTAACTATTTATTTGTATGATACAGCTGTAAATAAATATACACTGGAAATGTTATCTGGAAATAAGTAAAAAATTCTTTAAGTATATTTACCCTTATTTTGAGTAGGTAAATGAGATGATTTGCCAATGGAATGAGTATTTTTACTCTCAAAATAGGATATTTAGATAAAATGCACTTTAAATAAGACAATGCAATTGCTTTTTCTTATGTTAAGTGTAAATTGTCTTGTTCTATTAACAAAATGTCTCTTTTACCTCCTCAATTCAAGAACAAATGCAATTATTTTAAGAAATAATTACTTATCTAGATTTTGATTTTTTTCCCCAGTGTGTGAACACCTGTCAATCAGCCAGAATTGTGACCCCTCAAAGTCCTGTTTGTTGGCCTTCAAAATGTCCACCTGACTCACCTGTTTGAGGTCTTTCGCTGCATAAAGACAGATCAGATCAGTAAGAATCCAAGTACTAACATGGCCAAGACCAAAGAGCTGTCCAAAGACACTAGGGAAAAAAAATGTACACCTGAATAAGGCTGTAAAGGGCTATGGGAAAATTGCCAAGCAGCTTGGTGAAAAAAGGTCCACTGTTGGAGCCATTATTAGAAAATAGAAATAGCTAAACATGACTGTCGCTCTCTCTCGGACTGGGACTCCATGGAAGATCTCACCCTCGTGTGGTTTCATTTAACCTAAGAATGATGAGAAATCAGCCCAGAACCACACAGGAGGAGCTGGCCAATGACCTGAAAAGAGCTGGGACCACCGTTTCCAAGGTTACTGCTGATAATACACTAAGACGTCATGGTTTGAAATCATGCATTGCACGGAAGGTTCCCCTGCTTAAATCGGATGGTCAAGGCCCATCTTAAGTTTGCCAATGACCGTTCGGATGATCCAAAGGAGTCATGGGAGAAATATGGTCAGATGAGACCAAAATAGAACTGTTTGGTCATAATTCCACTAACCGTGTTTGGAGGAAGAAGAATGATGAGTACCATCCTAAGAACACCATCCCCACTGTGAAGCATGGTGGTGGTAGCATCATGCTTTGGGGTGTTTTTCTGTACATGGGATAGGGCGAATGCACTGTTTCAAGGAGAGGATGACCGCGGCCATGTATTTCGAGATATTGGGAAACAACCTCCTTCCCTCAGAACACGGAAGATGGGTGGAGGCTGGGTCTTCAAACACAACAATGACCGAAGTACACAGCCAGGATAACCCAGGAGTGGCTCTGAAAGAAGCATATCAAGGTTCTGGCATGGCCTAACCAGTCTCCAGACCTAAACCCAATAGAGAATCCTTGGAGGGAGCTCAAATTGTGTGTTTCTCATTTACAGCCCAGCAACTTGATCTAAAGAAGATCTTTGAGGAGAAGCGGGTCAAAATCCCTCCTGCAGTGTGCAAACCTGGTGAAAAACTACAGGAAACATTTGACCTGTGGAATTGCAAACAAAGGCTACTGTACCAAATATTAACATTAATTTTCTCCGGTATTCAAATACTTATTTGCAGCTGTCATATCATACAAATACATAGTTAAAAAATTAAGATTTCTGGACTTTTTTTTTTTAAGATGTCTCTCAGAGTGGACATACGCCTATGATGATAATTTCAGACCCCTCCATCAAGTGAGAGAAGTTGCAAAATATGACTTATTTTTTTTATAATATTCTTATAATACTTATTTTTCTGTAAGTAAAGAGGATACATCTCACAAATAAACAGTGAATGTCAGAGAGGGGCTTATAGTTTCATCTGAGTCCCTTCAGAGAGAGAGGTTGATGCTTATACTTGTTTCCAGCAGATGATTGGGGATGCTGGCTCTGCTTCTGGTTTCCTCCACCAGCTGGCTCAGGGGCAGAGGCGTCCCCCTCCTGTGAGGTTCCGAGAGCCTCAGCGAGCCAGACGGGGCTACCTCCATCCTGGCAAAAGGTCAGCTCCGGTTCCCCATGAGAGAGGTGGCAGAAGGCTGGAGGGGAGTCAAGGAGACTGCTGTGTGCCGAGAAATAATAATGCTGGAAAACCAGGAAATGAGGAAAGAAGACGTAGCGAAGCAAGAGTTCATTAGAGAAATTTGCTGCACAACATCTATGTTTTAGAAAAAATAAATGCAAATATTCCAAATTAATGCATAGCATATAGTTCTACTCTACAGAAGCACAAAACAGCAGGGAGGAGGGATGAGCATTTAGATAGAGGAAATTATTGATGGAGGGAAAAGGGGTAAGTATTTAAAAAAAGATGGACGGGAGGGGAAGATTATATAGAGATGGGTGGAGAAAAAGAAGGAAAGGGGAGTAAAATAATAAAGTGCTAAGGCATAAATAAAGGAGACAGGGTAGGAAAGGAGAGAGAACAGAGGGAAGGGAGGAATGAAGGGAGAAAGGAAGGAAGGATTGGTGAATAATTGACAAAAGAAAAAGTTTGAACTATGAACGTTTTCTGTAGGAACCCTACAGTCTTGAATTTTAAATTTCTAAAGATAAAGTCTGCTTTACCAGATTTAGACTGTTAAATTAAGTTAAATTGTAATTAACCGAGACAAAAGTTTAAACAAAAAAAGATATTTCAGAGCACAGAATTTAAAAACAGTTAAAGGTTAACAATTAAAAGTGAATTAAAAACCAGAGTTTTTGCTTCTTGAAAGACAGAGGCTAATTTTGTTGAATGTTCCTACCGGAGCTGTGACGCCTAAACGCCTCTATCTCTCGTTGTTTATGAAACGAGGCAAACTAGGCGCCTGCGTTACCATGGTGACCGGGAAGGGGAGGGGGGGGCGCTGCGCGGTAAAGTTCCATCAAGTCCAAATACTCAGGCCGGAAATACGCGTAAAAAGTTTCAAAGTAAGAGCCTCAATATGTCAATTAACGTTCTTTTCTAGTGTTTAAATAAAATAATAATTATGATAATAACAAAAAATACGGAAAATATAGTTTAATATTTATTTTCAATAACACCACATAATTCTTCTGTACATTTATTAATTTTTTTTTTACATTTAACCTTTATTTAACCAGGAAAAAAATCCCATTGAGATTAAAAACCTCTTTTTCAAGGGAGTCCAACCAAAGAGGCAGCAAAGTTACATAAGAAACATATATACATTAAAATAAATGACAGGTACATTAAAAAAACATATCAAGTAAAACAATTTACCTATTTATAAACCTATATCATGATTTTATTTTGAAATTGAATGGAGCTACAGTGATGTTGGTATTTCTTTTTTGCCCTGCCCATTACAATATAATGTTTGATCTTAAGGGCCCATATATCAGCTGCATATAACAGCAAGGATGTTGTTTTTTATTCAGATCAGCTATGCGGCTTGGAGTCTGGACCTAGATGGGTTTCATAGAGGGAAAAGGGAACATCATGCAGAAAGTTGGGCTTATTGGGGTGCTGCTTTTACACCAGGTAAAGAGAAGAACACTTGTTTGATTTTAATCCATGAGAATACAAAAAAAACAGAATGGTATTCTATTTTACAGGGTAGAACATCATCAGGTTGCTATCCTCACATGAATCTTATTAAAGATGAACAAAAGTGCATGAATGATCTAATACTGTTGAAGGAGCAAAAAGCAAAAGGTAAGTTAATACAGCTTTTGCATTTTTTTTTTTATTCCAAAATGTTCACATGTGTAATTTTTGACAAAAATAACTTCCTTTTTTTCAGATTTGAAACTAACATATCACTGAGATGAGTTTAATGTATAAAATTGGGCCTTTACAGAATTACAATGCTATGTTTTAGTGACAGCTAGTGGTCATCTAATAACACGCACTCTCATATTTACCCTGAAATAAAATAAGGATTTTATTGCATGTTTAATTTTAATTGAATCCATTAATTTTTTTCTCATCAGTTTTTTTAAAACTGCTTTATCTCTTGCAGAAAAATAACATGAAACCTGTCGTTCTTGTTTTATATGTTTAGTAAACAGCAGTGTGCACTGCAAGGGAATGTGGGACACCTTGCACTGCTGGCCACCTGCCTCTTTGGGGGAAACCGTCTCCCAACCATGCCCGGATTTCTTTAATTCAGAAGGTGTGAGACGCAAGCACGATGACGCACATTAAAAAACACTGCCACCCATTATCTGCACCACATCACGCTGGTTAATTATTTCCCTAAAAAACTAATTTGTCTTCTAAGGGAAGCGAGACTTTTTCTTCCTCTTAGGATCTCTATCCAAACAGCTGTGTAAAGCCTATGTAAACAAACGACTGGGTAACATGTAAGAGTGCTGAGTGTTGAAAGATAAAGATAATAAATTTTCAAAAAGGCAGGAAGTTTATCTAGCAATTTTTCTCGGTAATATGTAGTCTTTGTCACATCAAGCTGATCACTTAGGTTCGCTACCCTGAATTAAGATGTAATACGCCACTCATTCCTTTTCTTTTATATATATTTCTGCAGAGCTCCTCTTTGCAGGCAAAAGGAAGCAGTGATTTTATTGGTATTTTGCAGGTAAAGTGCAGCGCAACTGCACAACTAATGGGTGGACAGACCTTCTCCTCCCATACGAGGATGCCTGTGGCTATACTTTCAACGAGTCCTTCCATTTTCTGGAGGTAAGCAGTTTTATTAACTGAACACTGTGAGGTGATTATTCCATAAAGTCCAACCAGATCACTTTCTGTAGTCAGGCAGCAATTACACTCCCTTCCCAAACTAATAAACATAATGCTGATTAAACCTTGAGCATTTTCCATATTTTTTGCCTGCATGGAAAGAAACTCTAAATAGATTTTTAATAGCATTTGCACAGTCTTACAATAAAAAAGTCCTATGACTGTCCTATGACTGTTTACAGTGCTGAGAAATATATTTACCACTTACCAGATTTGTTATTGTTTTGCTTTTTTGTCACTAAATGCTTCAGATCAACCTAATTGAATATTATAATCATCCTTGGAGGCTAGAAGTACAAACAGGAATTTAAAATAACTACAAATTAATCTTAAACGTCACTGATGAATATTTTCACCTGTTCGACTTTGCAGATTTGATTTAATTCACTGAAGATTTTAAAGGATAAAAGATCCTCTTGTCAGTTCCAATGTCTGAGCGTTGCTTGTATTTTAAATCTGATTAAATGGGTTAACACCTGCCACAGAAGGGTTTCATTTCCCTTTTTATATAAATCATTGATACAGCCGTGCATTAAGCCCCTCCTGGGTTCCCCGCTCTCCATTTGTCTCTCACTGTTGGGTTTTTTTTCAGGCCCATAAAGGCGAATGATTATGTTTCTAATCTCTTTTTGATCTCTTTAGATTAGAGCATGCATGTGCTGCTTTAAAATATTGTTTAGCTTACTTCATGTTGTCAGAAATGGGCGTGGCTAGCATACCATAAAAGAGCAGAAAAGGGATTTATTAATTTTGGAGTGATTTTTCAGAGCAGATATCTTTCTGCTTTAGTTTTTACTGATGTTTGAGAGTAGGAAACATTTACAATTTAGTAAAATACAAAAGAAATCTGTAAGCAGGAAAAGAAAAGTTAAGTTATTCTGACTCAAACCAATGTTATTTTTGAAACAAACTACAAATAAATTCTCATTAATCTGATCTCTTCTCAGCCCCCAGATTCTCATCTCTATTACTCCTATGTGAAAACCATGTACACCATCGGATACACCCTCTCCCTCATCACTCTTACCATCGCTATCACCATCTTCTGCCTGTTTAGGTGGGATATATTTTCCTTTTATGTCTGTTTACATGTCAGCGGATGAAGGAAAGCCTCTAAAGCAGATCTAATGTATTCTACAGGAAGCTGCACTGCACCAGGAACCACATTCACATCCAGCTGTTTATCTCCTTCATCCTGAGAGCCATCTCCATCTTTATCAGGGACAGTCTTCTCTTTACAGATGAGGAGCTCTACCACTGTGACAACTACACAGTAAGAACGATATGAACGATTCCAAGGAGCATCAGAGAGAGTTTGTGTTAAGCTGCTGAATTCAGCCTCTCTTTTTTGCGACGGTGTTCTGCAGGTGGCTTGTAAGATTGTGCTGATGTTCTCCAACTACTCCATCCTTGCCAACTACAGCTGGCTGCTGGCGGAGGGTCACTTCCTGTTTACCCTGGTGAGCCGATCCTTCTTCTCCCTGAAGAAACACCTCGCCTGGTACATCCTCCTGAGCTGGGGTACTGCAATATATCGCGTCTCACAGGTTTTGCTTTGCTTCACCTGCAAACAAGTTCATAAACCTCCAGACTGTCTGAAAACGTACATTTTTTTATCATCTCACAGGTGTTCCATTTATTGTTATTGTCTGCTGGGGATGTGCTAAGTATTTCTATGAAGATGAAGGGTAAGATGCAAGAATGATTAATCAGGCATTCATCTAAATAGTAGTTTGTCATAGTTATTAATAATCGTTTCTTATTTCCTGGCCACAGATGTTGGGAAACCAGGAAACTTGAATGGATTTGGTGGATACTGAGAATGCCAGTTCTTCTTACCATATGTGTAAAACATTTTTTCCTATTAACAAAACAAAATATAAAAAATTTGAATTTTCTTGTGCATATTTCATTGAATAAAATGGACTATTATTATGAAGTAAAGGCTAATCAAACAGCTAACACCACTGGATGGTTAGTAATCATTGGCCTTGTTATGCACAGAGATTTAAATTTTAACTAAATGTAGACTTAAGTGCAAAACAAATAATTTTTAACTGTTGAGGGATATATTTTTATACTATATAAAATAGACATTTTAATGCAACTAAAGCTCAAATACCGTACATGATCTGATGGATTTATTAACCAGAGGATATTTGGAACTTTAAAAGAAAAATAACCTTTACTGGGGCTATAAAGAAAATATCAAACTGTCTTGGAGCTATTTAAAATTTGTTTTATTAGTCTTGAAAATATTTTAATATATATATATATTTTTTTTTTATACTGTAAGTGCTGACTAATGCTCCATTAGCTTACTTTAAATTAGTACTATATAAATAGCTTGTTAAGCTTAGCTAATTTACAGTAGCAGCCATTCTAAATTTCCCCACTTTCCTTGGCTGGTTCCCTACAATTCCTTTTTAAACATCAATCTTGGTACTAAAATATTCTTTCTGTCATAATTTGTGGACATTAAGAACTAAAGTAGATCTCGTCAGACCCTTTAATTAAGTGAAAGGATGGAGTCTAGGTAAAAAAAATATGCACGCCCAGGAGAAGGAGCGGGTCACTCCACTGGCTGGAAGTTGGAGGGGATTTTGTTGGAGTTGCAGGGAATCGGGCTCCCATTCGGCTTACGTTTGACTGGGAGGGGCCATTTTGAATGGCTTCTACTGTAAGTCAAGCGAAGGATCTAGTGATGCCATTAGCCTAGTTTTGTCTTAAGTTTTAAAATTCAGCTTTTAGCCTATTCAGAGTAAAATTAATTAACAACTACATTCCTGCCCCCTTTTACAGTGTAAAAGTTACTTTATGCTTTTGCTATGCAATCACCTTAGAAATTGAATTTTTGTATATTTGTAATCAAATGTAAATTTATCTAAACAAAATAAATAACAATTGACATCAAAGATGATGTTTTTTTTAGATGAAAACAATTTCCAACCAATCAAAACATGTCATTTTTTAATTTTTCCAGATAAACATGTTTTATTCTGTTCTATTTATTTCAGGTGAACCTCATCTTTTTCTTGGGTATTTTGAGGATACTTATCAGCAAACTCAGAATGCCAGATGCACAGCGGAATGAATTTAGTCAGTATATGTGAGTTGCTTTTACGACGTATATTATTCTATAGCCATTTGATTCGTTGTTATCTGTGTATCGTTCCTTCATTTTACCTCAGTAACTGGATGGTGGATCAAAATTAACTTATATTTGTTCGGGCTGCAAGTTTGAAAACCTGCGTTTTTTTTTATTATTGTTCTCAGTATTTGAGCAACATGGATATAACGCATTTAGTAAAACATTAGACTGCAAGAACATCTTTCAGACAAAAAGGTATTTTTGTTTGAGTGATAAACCAGACCCCGATCTGTTCCCACGCGTTCTTGTTCAGTCAGATATGGCAGTGTAGGAAGAGAAAACATCTATAGTGTTTTCAATATAAATGATCTGTTAAGACCTAAAGATGTCTTTCTGGGAAATATTTAACTTAACTTTTGGAATGTAAAATTCTAAAACAATTAATTTTGACTTTCTGGCATAAGATGATAAGGACTGCTGCATTTCATTTGTATAAAACCGCCATTATAATGCAAAATGGCTGACTTTAAACTTAAAAGTGATGATAGCTGCAGAGGAAGACAAACATGACACTGCACTGCAAAAAATTGAAATCTAAATAATTTATTTTTTCTTAAAATAAGGGAATTTCTGCTTGAATTAATGAAGTAAGTGAGACAATTTGACAATTGGGCAAGACAATTTATATTTAAAATAAGAGTGCATATTATCTAATTATCTCCTTTTAAGAGTAAAATACCTCATTCATTGGCAAATCATCTTATTTAACTACTCAAATTAAGGGTAAATATACATTTTTATGACCTTTTTCCATATTTCTAGATGTTTTTTTGCCGTGTGGGACGTCCCTATCCATAACTAATATCAGTAATGGGTCCAAAATAAGCCAAAAATAATGAATGAATGAATAAACATGTCAGCCTGTGTCAGATAAAAGCAAGCTGATAGAAACACTACACTTCTGTGTTACATTTTTATGTAAGCCATTGATTGGTTAATAATATATGGGTCAGTTTTTCTCATACCTGTTGCTGTTCATTATTGTCCTGTTTTATTAATATCACTAAATTTAGCCTTTTTTCCAAAAGTTCAAAATGATTAGTAAAAGTATGTACTGTATGGTTTGGGCTGATATCGTATCTGTTAAAATGGGTTTCAGTCAATACTGAAAGCTACAAAAATGAAAATTAAAAAGCTAAAAAGCAGTATTGGCTCATTCCTCGTATGAGCCAATTAATTCAACTCCAACATTAATCCTACTAATGAGTTATACCTTCCAAAGTGAACAGAGTCCAGAGTATTGTTTTATAATTAAAAAAAAGGGAAGAAAAAACCTGTGCTGATAATTATCCCTTTTTTCAACAGGAAGCTGATTAAATCCACATTTTTCCTGGTGGCTCTATTTGGTCTACACTGCATCCTTTTTGTTTTCTTACCAGTGGAAGTCGTAGACTCTGTGTTTAAGATCTGGACGTTTGCAGAGCTGGCGTTGTCGTCCACGCAGGTAAAACTTATTAAACTCACCCACCCAGGACTCAGTTCTACGGAAGAGGATTAGGGCCACTGAAAAAATAAAAGTCAACCTCAACGTGTCAATTTGTAAAATAAATCTCAGAATTCTGACTTTAATCTGATAATTTTGGATCTTAATGTAGATGGGAACTATGAAGAAAGAGATGTGGGAGCACTCAGCTTCCCTGACAAAGATGCGAGTTGTTTGGGAAGGCCAGTGACACATTGGTGGAAAATGAGGGAATTAAGGTGATTTTTTTATGTGCCTGACGGGTCCCCGGGCACGTAATGGAGAAGTTTAACAGAGGAACAGAAGGCGATTAAAACAAGAGAGCTAGTCTCTAAAACAAATAGGGCTACGGCTTAATGCTAACATGTTTGTTAGCTGCCAGAATTCGGTCAGAATTCTAAGATTAAAGTCAGAATTCTGAGCCTAAAGTAAGAATCCTGAGATTAAAGTCAAAATTCTGAGATTAAAGTTAGAATTCTTAGATAAAAGTCAGAATTCTGAGATTAAAGTCAGAATTCTGAGAAAAAAGTCTGAATTCTGAGGGAAAAAAGTCCATTCTGAGAAAAAAGACAAATTCTTAAAGTCAGAATTCTGAGAAAAAAAGTCAGAATTCTGAGATTAAAATCAGAATTCTTCGCTAAAAGTCAGAATTCTGAGAAAAAAAGTCCATTCTGAGAAAAAAGACAAATTCTTAAAGTGAGAATTCTGAGAAAAAAGTCAGAAATCTGAGACTAATGTCAGAATTCTTAGACAAAGTCAGAATTAAAATCAGAATTCTGAGAGAAAAGTGAGAATTTCCAGTGGCCCTAACCCTCTTCCATACAGTTATACCACAACATAGGTCAAAAGTTTTCTTACCCCATTCCAAAGGAATCCAAGATAAGAAACAATTCTTTACATCTATTAGTCTGAAAAAGCTCCCATCTCGAAGGCTTTGAGATCTGCTGCTCCTATGGGCTGGAAATCACTTTTTATATCATGAGCCACTTCCATTTCAAAAATAAGCTAAAAATGTCTTTTGTATTTACTGAGATTATTTTTTTAGTGTGACAAAATTGGGAAATATTTTAGGATATGTGTTTTTACTCTTTTTAAATGCCAGCAGCTTAGAAGAAAACACATGAATCATCTAAGCTGTAACCTTCTCCTCTCACATCTACCAGGGTTTTGTCGTTGCTGTTCTCTACTGCTTCATGAATGGAGAGGTGAGATCAGAACCCTCAGATATAAGGAGAACCGTGTCGAGACTCATCTAACAGGGAGGATCAATGTTGACGTTGCATATTTTAGGTGCAGCAGGAGTTAAAGAGGAGATGGAAAAGATGGAAGCTCACCCAGCATCTTCCCAGTCGGCGACGTCAGCATCACGGCTCCATCAGCCAGATCGGATCACCTCACACTCAGATCTCCCTGCTGCCGTCTTCACCAACCAGCCTCACCAACTCCGGATTCCCTGCAGATACTCTGGAGTTGAAAAACTAGCTGTGTCTCAACTTCAGATGCAATCTTAGAGAAGATGAAGTTAAAAGCTATTTATAGACTAACCTAAAAGGTTTTTTTTTTTTTTTTTTTAAGCCTCCTAATGTTAAAAAAATAAAGCAGCTACCATAACTGGACCAGGGAAGGTCTTAGAATATTTTAATCTGAATAAAATACTCTAAAACAGTATGTAGACTCATAGTGATGATAAAGCATACTTTCCTTGAATTTTTGTCTTTTGATTAGTTTATTTGCTAAATTAAGGGATGCACTTATTTTCTAACAAAGCTTTTCCATTTTGCTTCCTGTGACTAATAAATTCTGACTTGGTAAAATATAAGATTGCTTTGTACCTTTATCATTCGTTCATTTTAAAACCTGATGAAAGCCAGATCATTTAAACATAAAGAGGTCTAGAGCAATATAACGGGATGTAATAATAAGCTTCAGAGTCTATTTAAAAAAAATATATAAATAAGGGATATATTTAATTTTTTCAGAAAAAATGTCTGAATACGTGGAAAATTGAGTAGTTTTGCAGAATTTTTCAGGATCTAAAAGCCCTCAATGAGTAATAATTAAAAAAATAGAGATTATAAAGATCAAATGGAGGTAGGCATCAATGGAATCAAGAAATAAAATTTATATTTTTCCCTATACTGGTAAACTAGCAAAAATAAATAAAAAAAATAAACAAATGAAGAACAATTATATCCACAGTTACAGGTTGAAAAATAAAAAAAAGCTAATAACCCTCGTAGGAAACATTAACACAATTTCCTAATCAAAAATGTACATAAGAAAATGATCCTATCGTACCAGAATGATCAGTTAACCATTATAAAAGGTCTAAAATAAATTTAAATTCTTTGTGGTTTTATTAATTTATGACCTCATAAGGATCCACCAACCAGCAGCCTGATAATACAATATATTTACTGAAACACCTGCATCCCAAAACCAAAGGCTAAATTATAAACATCACTTCCATATTCAACCATTTCAATGGAAATGTCCTCATAACTATAGATCATTTTAACACTTTCATTTGCCAGTTTGATGAAATCAGACCACTGAACCAAAACCGTTTGTCACCTTTAAAGAAACGTTCCACATCTGTTGGCAGCTTATACAGGTGCTGGTCATAAAATTAGAATATCATGAAAAAGTTGATTGATTTCAGTAATTCCATTTAAAAAGTGAAACTTGTATATTATATTCATACATTACATACAAACTCATATATTTCAGATGTTTATTTTGTTTAATTTTGATGATTACAAATGACAACAAATGAAAATCTCAAATTCATCATATCAGAAAATTAGAATATTACTGAAGACCAATAAAAACAAAGGATTTATAGAAATGTTGGCCAACTGAAAAGTATGAACATGAAAAGTATGAGCATGTACAGCACTCAGTATTTAGTTGGGCCTCCTTTGGCCTGTATTACTGCAGCAATGCGGCGTGGCATGGAGTCGATCAGTCTGTGGCACTGCTCAGGTGTTATGATAGCCCAGGTTGCTCTAATAGTGGCTTTTAGCTCTTCTGAATTGTTGGGTCTGGTGTATTGCATCTTCTTCTTCACAATACCCCATAGATTTTCTATGGGGTTAAGGTCAGGAGAGTTTGCTGGCCAATTAAGAACAGGGATACCATGGTCCTTCAACCAGGTACTGGTAGCTTTGGCACTGTGTGCAGGTGCCAAGTCCTGTTGGAAAATGAAATCTGCATCTCCAAAAAGTTGGTCAGCTGCAGGAAGCATGAAGTGCTCTAAAACTTCCTGGTATGTGGCTGCGTTGACCCTGGACCTCAGAAAACACAATGGACCAACACCAGCAGATGACATGGCACCCCAAACCATCACTGACTGTGGAAACTTTACACTGGACTTCAAGCAACGTGGATGAAGTGCCTCTCTTCTTTTCCTCCAGACTCTGGGACCTTGATTTCCAAAGGAAATGCAAAATTTACTTTCATCAGAGAACATGACTTTGGACCACTCACCAGCAGTCCAGTCCTGTTTCTCTTTAGCCCAGGCAAGACGCTTCTGACGCTGTCTGTGGTTCAAGAGTGGCTTGACACAAGGAATGCGACAGCAGAAACCCATGTCTTTCATACGTCTGTGTGTGGTGGTTCTTGAAGCACTCACTCCAGCTGCAGTCCACTCTTTGTGAATCTCCCCCACATTTTTGAATGGGTTTTGTTTCACAATCCTCTCCAGGGTGCGGTTATCTCTCTTGCTTGTACACTTTTTTCGACCACATCTTTTCCTTCCCTTCGCCTCTCTATTAATGTGCTTGGACACTGAGCTCTGTGAACAGCCAGCCTCTTTAGCGATGACCTTTTGTGTCTTGCCCTCCTTGTGCAAGGTGTCGATGGTCGTCTTTTGGACAACTGTCAAGTCAGCAGTCTTCCCCATGATTGTGTAGCCTATAGAACTAGACTGAAAGACCATTTAAAGGCTTTTGCAGGTGGTTTGAGTTAATTAGCTGATTAGAGTGTGGCACCAGGGGCCATCAATTTTGAACCTTTTCACAATATTCTAATTTTCTGATATGATGAATTTGAGATTTTCATTTGTTGTCATTTGTAATCATCAAAATTAAACAAAATAAACATCTGAAATATATGAGTTTGTATGTAATGTATGAATATAATATACAAGTTTCACTTTTTAAATGGAATTACTGAAATCAATCAACTTTTTCATGATATTCTAATTTTATGACCAGCACCTGTATATAAACAGAAAAAGCAACTGCAGAAGAAAGTGTTGTGAAAACACTCCCCGTTTTAATTCTAACATCCAGTGAACAATTGAAAGGAGTATTATCCAGCATCATCACAGCTAAGTAATGTATGGAAGAGGATTAGGGCCACTGGAAAAAAAAAAAAAAAAAAGTTAAGTGATTTTTTAATTTTATTTCAGTTTAGTATGGGAAAAAAGTCAGAATTCTGATTTTTTTTCCTCAGAATTCTGACTTTAATCCCATAATTCTGACTTTTTCCCCATACTAAACTGAAATAAAATTTAAAAATCAGTTAACTTTTTTTCTTTTTTCCAATGGCCGTAATCCTCTTCTGTAATAATGAATGGACATGATTGTTAAAAGAAAAATGAAAACAACCCTTCTGCTTGTTGCAATTGTATCCCTCAATAATTCAATTACTGTAGGAGGTCAAATAAAAAAGCAAAAAGAAAACATTTTTAAATCACGAGTTAAAACTTGCTCATGATATTTCATACTGGAGTATTATTGGGAATCAGCTGGAAGAGCCGAACTCAAACCTCGGTTTCCTTGCATCGTACCACGTTCTGTTAGATCATTGCTAAAGAAGCTGGCTGTGCTCATTGATGCTATATATGAAATTGACTAATAGAATAAATCCTGACAGCAAATGGACAGAAAACCAAATTAGAAAAGCACCTTATGGTACTCATAACTTACCACAGCAGCTGGGCTAAGAAACATTAAAACTGTAAAACGTTTTGACAGACGGCTCTACTTAAAGATATCTAATGGTAAAATAATACATCTTCTGTCCTGATGTTTGAATGCAAAAACGAGAAGGAGACATTCAGGTATTTATTATTTGTTTATTGTCGCGTCTCTGAAATCTAGATTCCATATTTTTCTTTTAGCTTCTCCACCAACTCAACGTAAGCCGCCATTGCTTCTTCTTTAGACAGACCTGAAAACAGTAAGCATATCGTTCTAGCAAATTTGTAGGAAAGTTTTTTTGTTTATTTATTAGATGTTGAGTTAAAGCTTGATGAATCCAACCTTTCTTTGCGTTCCATGCGTCCCATTTTGCTTTTCCTGTAAAATCAAACATCCCTGGTCGATCTGTGGATATAAAAACAAGGTTTTTTTAAGGCAAAATATTTCTTATTGTGGCCATTTAGCTTCAAGCAATCCCCCACACAAGGAGCCTTAAAATCTAACTTGACTTAAAGTAGAGATAAAATACCAGTCAGATCTCTTCCCATTCCTTATCTGAAGTCTTAAGTCTCAACTCCTCACTAAGAATAACTGGAGATGTCTTTGAATTTGACTACATGCATTGAGATGGTTTAGGTATTTTGGAGGGCATAAGTCGCCCCCTCCTGGAAGTTCTTGGTACTGGACACAGAGGGTTACTGCATATATTATATTTTGCTAATTGTAAATACAAAATTTGTATTTAAAAAGTAGCAGAGGTTAAATTATTTGTTCAGAGAGATTAATGCTAAATTCTGCTTTTAAAAAGACAGTTTCATCAAACTTATACAGAAAGAGGCAGAATTTGAATATTTTTAATGCCCCAAAGTGCAGCTGTATAGGATATTATTATAGGATATAGACTGGACTGGAAGTATGATCTGAAAACAATCGCACACCGATCTTTTCAGATGTTTATATATAAAAGAATTTGGAAAAAAAAAAAAAAACTAAATGTTGCTCTACTTTGTGTTTATTATAGAATAGAAAATCCCTTTATTGTCCCACAATAGGGACATTCTGGTGTTTACAGCAGCAAAAAGATCATAGAAAAAAATGGTGGACATTAGAAAAGTAAATAAGAATAACGATTGTAAAGAGTTAAAAAATAAACAAACTAAATATTGTAAAGTGTTTTAACTATATATAAAAAAACTGTGCACCTTGAGAATAAATAACCAATAAACAGCTATGGAAATGTTTGCAGCAACATCAGAAATGTGCGAAAAATGACAGCAGCATGTTATTTAACTGACTAAGCTAGAAACAGTGCAAAATCAGCATGAATGTAACAACTTATTGAGAAAAAGAAACAAAGAAAGTGACTTTTGTTGCATAATGAAACGGCACTGCACGGTGTGCAGCTAAACCTGCTTTATTGGATTCCTTTTTTTTTTGGAGGTCACATGGGTCTACTGTGCTTTGAGCTGCAGGATAAGGGAATAAAGGTGAAAGGGAATAAAGATGTCCGACTCAAGGGGCGTAGGCAGGCAATAACCAATGTACTCTGAGGGGAGACCGAAAGCAGATCGGCACCAGAAACTCAGGGTCAATCTACACTGTTTCAACAGGAAAATTAACAAGTAAAACATCCATATTTTCTAAATAAAGACTAACTATAATTTCCTACAGCCTTTGCTACAAAGTAGATGCATATATTTAAACACCTGTAATTTCTAGATAAAAGGTATAGTGGATAAACTCAGTTTTGAGATCTAGGGTGTAAATCTTTTCCATCGTCATTACTTATCTACTTATATCAATAAACATTAATATTTACAAGCCCTAATATCTACATAAAATGATTATTTGATAAGTTTTCATTAAAATTGTTATTTATCTATGATTTCACTGAAAACTCCTAAATAACTTGCAGACACAATTTTCTCTTTACCCCATATAACACAAAATCTAGTTCTGAAAAGAGCACGAACTCTGTGCTTATCTTTAATGTTAGTATATTGATGTGTATAATTTACCCCAATATTCCACTTCAGAGTATTTCTGCTGCCACCATCTGCATTAGGCTACGTTCACACTGCAGGCCTTGATGCTCAATTCCGATTATTTTGCAAAATCCGATTTTTTTACGTTGCCGTTCATATTTCCAAATATATGCAACTTCTATGTGTCATACAGCGCAAGTGTCCCGCATGCGCAGTAGAGGACGCGATGAAATCACAGGCCACTGATGCCAGCATGCTTTTTTTTCCCGGAAGTAAACATGGATGGTAGTGCCGGGGTGCATCTAGCGGTCTTTTCCAACCATAAAAACCCAATCTTTTCAGGATGGTTATACGTAAATACTGTTCTCCGCATCATTGTCCGCCATGGTTGTTGTTTTTCTTGCCGCTTCTGCTTAGCAAGACACAGAATAGTGACCTTTGTCGGGTATTAATGACGTTCTGGTCGGATGAATGCGACCTGGCTGTTCAGACACAGGTCGCATTTGAAAAGATCAGATTCGTATCGGATTCAGGACCACATAGCCAAGTGGCCTGGGTCGCATTGGAAAAAAATCGGATCCGTGTTGTTCAAACAGCCATGAAAAAGATCAGATCCAGGTAGCAAATGGGCCAAAATATCGGATTTGGGTCACTTCAGGCTGCGGTGTGAACGTAGCCATTGACTGAAATCTGACTCCAAACTTGCGCAGAAATTTGAATGCTGCTCGAGTCAAAAAGGCTTTTAAATCTTTGTGTAGGGTGCTGATATGCTAGATCTCCCAACTATTGTTTACAGATATTTTTCTTATTTTTTACCTCCTTATTTGACAAATTTTTATTTACAGCTTACCTCTGGTAGCTTAAACCATGTTATCGGTGTTTTTATCACTTCTGTAGATGTTATTGCTTGACGTATTGTTTGAATTAACGCCTTGTTTTTGTTGTTGTTTTTTGCATTTCTCAACATCACTGTCAGGCAGCAATTAGCAGCATAGTCGGCCATCTTGTTTTCCGTTTCGTTGTTTGATGCTTTCCCTCATCTTACCTTTTTGACTTTGGATGTATGAATTCCTAAATATAACTAGAGGTACAAAGTCAAACATGGTTGATAGATTCTAGTTATAAAATAAGGATATATATGCACCCAATGTATTAGGAAAACCTATGCAGCATTTGAAATCAGATTCAATTTTTTGATAAATGGCCCATGGCCACCCCTGGGCTTCCATCTAGCTCCGCCCCTGGTCCGATTTAGGGCTGGGTTGCACATATTGTGAAATTTTGAAACCTTCTGATGAGGTCATTGTTCACTAGACTAAACTTTCTTTTCCCAAATCCTTCTTAAACCCCGCCCATGAAAACCTGCACACTATAAACTCACCAATATTGACGTCTCCAACAGTGCCTTGTTTATATAAGCCATAAAGTGCAGTCAGTTCTCCCTGGTCTGGTTTTTGTTTGAGGACCTTTACCTCCTCTGCTGCTTTTTCAAAAGCTTCCTGGGAGAGAATGAAAGAAAGGGGACTTTAAGACCACGTGAGCCTGAAAGAACTCCACGTGCGCAATCAACCCCAATAATCTCAGAGATTCACATTTTCAAGATCAGTTCCGTTAGATTGTAGAAAATAGTGTTAGTTTAAAACAAGACAGCACTTACAGACATGATGACGGGGACAACGCCTGCTGCTGTGGAAACCTCCTGCCTGGTGGCTGAACTTCCTCAACTCCTCCTGCAAATCATGTCACGCGCGCGATAAGCCCGGGATGAGTGGGAGGGATTTCCAAAGCGATCATACGATGCAAGCAATAATTAACAACAATCAATAGAGATCGATAAAGAAACAGGTTTGGAGTCTGTTTGGGGTTATTTTACGACTTTCTTCTGAGTTGGATTCGCTTTTTTACATATTTTATTCGGGTCGTTCAGGTTGCAGTTCACAAATCTGCCACAAGATGGAAGCATTGTATTATTTCGCTCCATTCTGCTTAACATTTGCTAAAACTAAAAATAATGATTCTTTGTGTATATTTGACTCGGTTTAAAGGTGAATATAGGTGCTTCTCAAAATATTAGCATATTGTGATAACAATGCATTTGATTTCTACTGCACTTTTCATCAAAAATACCTACAAAAAAGTACTACAAAAAAGAAAAGCATTAAAAAAACAAATACATTAAATAAATAAACAAATGATAAAGTTAATTATTTTCCATAATGTAATGGTAAAACTTAAACATATATTTTAGATTCATTACACCCTAACTGAAATATTTCAGGTGTTTTATTGTCTTAATATGGATGATTTTCGCATACAGCTCATGAAAACCCAAAATTCCTATCTCACAAAATTAGCATATCATGAAAAGGTCTCTAAACAATGCACCAAAACATCTGGATCAACAAATTAACTCTTAACACCTGAAAAAGATTCCTAAAGCCTTTAAAACTCCCAGCCTGGTTCATCACTCGAAACCCCAAACATGGGTAAGACTGCTGACCTGACTGCTGTCCAGAAGGCCATCTTTGACACCCTCAAGCAAGAGGAGATGACACAGAAAGATATTTCTGAATGAATAGGCTGTTCCCAGAGTGCTGTATCAAGGCACCTCAGCGGGAAGGAAAAAGTGTGGCAGAAAACGCTGCATAACGAGAAGAGGTGACCGGACCCTGAGGAAGATTGTGGAGAAGGGCCGATTCCAGACCTTGGGGGACCTGAGGAAGCAGTGGACTGAGTCTGGAGTAGAAACATCCAGAGCCACCGTGCACAGGTGCCTCATTCTCCAGGTCAAGCGGCGCCTGACCTGGGCTAAGAGAAGCAGCATTGAACTGTTGCTCAGTTTTGCACGTCACTTGGAAATCAAGGTCCAGAGTGTGGAGGAAGACTGGGGAGAAGAAAATGCCAAAGTGCATGAAGTCCAGTGTCAAGTACCCACAGTCAGTGATGGTCTGGGGTGCCATGTCAGCTGCTAGTGTTGGTCCACTTTGTTTTATCAAGGGCAGGGTCCATGCAGCTAGCTATCAGGAGATTTTGAAGCACTTCATGCTTCCATCTGCTGAAAAGCAATATGGAGATGAAGATTTCATTTTTCAGCACGACCTGGCACCTGCTCACAGTGCCAAAACCACTGGTAAATAGTTTACTGACCATAGTATCAATCGGCCTGCCAACTCTCCTGACCTGAACCCCATAGAGAATCTGAGGGATATTGTGAAGAGAAAGTTGAGAGAGGCAAGACCTAACACTGTCGATGAGCTAAAGGCTGCTATGTAAGCATCCTGGGCCTCCATAACACCCCAGCAGTGCCACAGGCTGATTGCCTCCATGCCGCATTGAAGCAGTCATTTCTGCAAAAGGATTCCCCACCAATTATTGAGTGCATAACCGTACATAATTATTTGAAGTTTGACTTTTATTTGTATTAAGAACAATTTTCTTTTGTTGGTGGGAGGAAATTCTAAATAGGAATTTTGGGTTTTCATGAGCTGTATGCCAAAATCATCCGTATTAAGACCATAAAAGACCTGAAATATTTCAGTTAGGGTGCAATGAATCTAAAATATTTGAATGTTCAAGTTTTATCATTACATTATGGAAAATAATTAACTTTATCACAATATGCTGATATTTTGACAAGGACCTGTACATGATTTTATTACATTCTGGGTGAGCCTGTGAATCCCTTCTATGCAGTCAATTTAAACACAAACACACATTATTGTAGAAAACTAACTTTATTTATTGTTCTGGTGATTTATTGTCCAAAATAGCTACAATCTTACAAAAAGACATGTTCATTGGCAGCAAATCTATACAAAATATAATTCCAGACAATAAAAGGGTAAAGTAGTGACGGAAAACATAAAACAAACCAGATTATTTCCCACTGAGTAACTGAATAGCACCTGGTTGGTGGGACGTATTTGTGAACGGCTCAATGTTTTGCACTTTTCAACAACAGAACCACAATGAGAATGTTTTTTTCAACATGGCCAAGAAGATGGATTCAAATGGTGTATAAAAATCAGAGATGTGTGGTTTAGTTATTTACTTAGCCCTCTTTAAATATCTGTATTCAAATGTATCTAACTTAACTATTTTGGAACAGTTTGGATTGAATTATTTTTAATACTCTAAGGGCTAATGGAGGCACAACCTGTAAAAAAAATATTCTGGCTCTGTCTTGAAGGCAGCTTTATGAAAAAAGAAAACATGCTAAAAATGGTAAGTACAATAAGTAGGAAAAAGATGAAACCTATCAATAACACTGAAGACATCTATAAACATATCTAACCAGTTAGTTGCTTTGTTTCTTTTCATTTTCAAGCTTCATTTTTAAATATAAACAATTGCATGGGAAGTGTTCTTAATGAGGATTTAATTATAAATTTACTTTGGTGAGCTTAAGCACTTTAGTATGCTGAGCAAGGATGTTTTAATTTGAAAGAGCTGCTGTTCTCTACTACGATTGACACTTAAAATAGAGAAAACAATAAATTAAAGATCATCTCAGAGTGTGGTGCTGAACGGTTTGCCTGCTCGGATGTCTCTCAGGGTCTTCCCTCCACCTCACTGAGAAGAACCTCAGCAAGTCGTCGACAGACTCCAGCTTAGTATAAATATTTTACCTCTTCTGTAGATATTCATCCTTTTTTCTCAAAAGCAACAGCATATCTCACACATTGCTGATGTCCTCCAGCCCGTTGCGGTAGCCTTCAGAAGGCAGCGTGAAGCAGACGTTTCTGCTCCTCTCCCAGCCACGGCGGATCTTCCTGAGCCGCTCGGCCACACAGGGCAGGCAGAGAGCCAGGCGGCCCAGCAGGACCACGCAGGGGGGAATCAGCACCAGGACGAAGGTGGGGGGCATGTAGAGGCGGTACTGTTTGGGATCGAAGGCCCGATTCCACCCGTAGAGGAGCGTGTGGGTGGTGGCCATGAACAAGGCACAGTAACCAAGCGAGGACTGCAAAACATCAAACATCCAGACCAGGGCTGCATTAATTCAGAAAATATGAAATGACACTTTTAAGACAGTAAAAACATAAATTTACATTGTTCTAAAATATTCCTTTTCAGCCGTGGCTCTATGTCTTTTGTCGTTTTCTGCCATCAACCAACCTCCTCTCAGCTTTAACCAGTTTTTCTATACTGCAGAAGAAAAGCATCCCCACAGAATGATACGTCACCTCCGAGTTTCCCTCCATGTCTGCTGAATCCCCTTCAAGCTTTGTCAGCTTCTACAAACAAAACTTTTTAGGGCTTTATCTCCACAATTAATTTTTCACCCGTAAGCTTCAGTTCCTTTGTAATGTTTTAAATCATCAATTTATTTTTTTTTTCTCTTAATCTCTCCAATCATATCCAAGTAAAACACATCGATAGTTGAAGGCTGGTTTATGCTGAAACAAGGTCGTCTGCGTGTGTCGCAGTTAACGTAGATATGCCCCTTCCGCAGACACTCTGCTGCACCTCTCCGAAATTGTAGGTGACCGCAGACAGGAGGCCTCTGATTGGTCAAAATTAACATCCGCTCTACACTATGTATATTTTGTGTTTGGTACCTTATGTCACTACCCAATCCGACCCGTAAGCACGATTTGTTCTACGCATGCGCGAACAGATATATATCTGGGTGTCTATAAACTTACTACTTATTTTTATCCTTAGCTCACTAAAGAATAGTAATACCAATCTGTAAAAAAAATGTTATGACGGTGAGACTATTTGAATGCTTTTTACATTTTCATCGTTAAACTGCTTCTCTGACATCATCAGACGTGCTCAGAGTAGGGGTGTAAATAATAATGGTTTTGTATCGATGCATCGATCCAAAAGCCGACGATCCGATGCATCGACACGTCCGCAAGAGAATCGATTCATGTTTTTTTTTTTTCTCCGGTCTATTTTTATTAATTTGCTCCTGGGCGTAATTCTCCTTCCCGTGCTGCGTTGGCGCTAAACCTATTTTGCCCTGCTACCTCGCTTCCTGGTTATACTCTTACAGCAGTGTGTTGCAGTGAGCTTGACACAGACATTTTTAAATTATACTCAATATTGAAGCGTGGTCTGTGCTACAAGCTGTGGGTCTAGATACGGCCGAGGCGGCCGAGGAAGTCGGGGCGAGTTTAGACCGATGACGGAGGGACATGAGGGTCAAAAAGAGCGGAGATCCAGGTGGAAAAAGGGTCCCAGCGTTCTGGCGCAGCTCGCTCTTCTAGCGGGTCAAACTTCACGAGTTGTTTTCCGGAATTTCGGTCACAAAAACAAAACCAGCCGGCCTCCTGTCTGCGGCACTGTTTGTGGTCAGCTACAATTTGGGAGAGGAGCAGCGGAGCATCTCTCAAGGGGGCGGGACGTCTAGGGCCGAGGTATTGCATTGCACTCATTGCACTGATTTTCTGCAATATTTTTGCAGTATTTTTTAATGCAACTTTTCTACTTCTGTTATTTGCTGTTGTTTCTTAAAAAAATGCATAACGATATTACAGCTTTCGTTTCAAGTTTGATTTATTTCAAACTTGAAACATTGTCTAGCCTGTAAGGTGTAAAAAAATAAAAAAATAAAAAAATGTACCGATTAATCGAATCGAAGTGTATTCTTGAGTATTGAAGATAATCGAATCGTTGGGTCAGGAAATCGATACTGAATCGAATCGCCATGATGGATGTGATTTACACCTCTAGCTCAGAGCAGTCCGTCGAAATATATTTAAACTATGTTTATATGCATTTTAGTTGTTTATTTATTTAGATAACGCACTATATAGCATAAGGTTAAAACGAAACGAAAACATAAAACTCAAAAAACACTAGATT